TATGTGAAATACTCTAAAATACTACTTGTTATTTTGTTATCACATTTTAGTGATCACATTTTATAACACAGTTTTTGGCACATGTTAAATGTCTAATTTCTTTGGTTTGGTTATAGTGCGACTAGATTTCTTTCTGGATGGTATGCTGCTATTGGCTTCTGGTTTTTGGTTGTTGAGTTGTATGGAGTGTTCTGGACCATTTTCAGAGGATCTCTGTTTTATGTGTCGTCTGTTTCTCCGATACGTTTGGTCATCTGATGTTCTGACGAGGTAAGATCTGTGTGGCAAAACACTGGAAATTATGCCAGGTGTCCAAGATTTGTTGTTGTCGCTTTTCTGGACGTACACCTTGTCGTTATGTTGAAGGTCTGGAAGCGGCTTAGCTGTTCGGTCATAAAAGCGTTTCTGTTGGGTTTGTCTGTTTTCTCGTGTGGCACATACATTGGCAGGATCTTGTATTTCAGGTTGGAGTTGTGTTTCTGTTACTGGGAGGATGGAACGTAGACGGCGACCCATTAGTAATTGTGCTGGGGAAGCTAAATTGTCTATTGGAGTCACTCTATATTCCAGAAGACTGATATATGTGTTTCCACCATCTTTCTTCGTTTTGTTTAAAATGTTCTTTGCTGTCTGTACACTTTTCTCAGCCAGACCATTTGATTGTGGGTACTTTGGACTAGACGTGATGTGTTTGAAATCCCAAGTCTTGGCGAAATTGTAAAATTCACTGGAGGAGAATTGCGGACCATTATCACTGATAACTATGTCTGGAATGCCGAAGCGAGCAAAGTTTGCTGATAGTTTACTGATAACTGCTGCTGATGAGAGAGAATGAAGTTTGTCGATCTCGAAGTATCGGCTGTAATAATCAGTGAGTACGATGTAGTTCTTGTTGTTAATGGTGAATAAGTCCGTGCATACTTTCTGCCAAGGTCGTGTTGGTATCTGATGTGGTTTTAGTGGTTCCTTCGTGTTGGAAGACTGTTTCTCGCCACATATTGTACAGTTGGTGACAATCTTCTCAATGTCTCGGTTCATGCCGGGCCAAAATAAGATGTCTCTGGCACGCTGCTGACACTTTTCTATACCAAAGTGACTAGAGTGTATCTTTGTCAACATTTCGGATCGTAGGCTCTTGGGAATTATTATTTTGTGTCCCTTGAATATAAGATTCTCCATGACTGTGAGTTGGTCTCTGTAATTCCAATATTCTTGTACCTCTGATGGGCATTTCTTGCGGTGTTGTGGCCATCCATCTAGAATAGTTGTTTTCAACTTGTTCATTTGTTGATCTGTTGTTATCTCTTTCCGTAGTTTTGACATTTTCTGATCACTAACTGGTAGGTTGGCTATTACGCTGTGGACTAGTAAATCCATTTCTTGAGACATGTTATCTGGTGGTATTGTGATGAAATTACGACTAAGTGTATCTGCTACAGGAATGTCCTTTCCGGGTACAAAGATAACGTTAATGTCGTATTTCTGTAGTTGTAGGAGCATCCGTTGTAAACGTGTTGGTGCTGTCGCTAATGGTTTCTTCATTATGGTTTGGAGAGGTTTATGATCAGATTCAACTGTGATCTGATGTCCGTATACCATTTGATGAAATTTTTTGCAACCAAATAGCACTGCATACAGCTCTTTTTCAATTTGAGCATAATTCTGCTCTGATGTTGTTAATGATTTTGAAGCGTATGCTATTGGTTTCTGCTCCTGCATAAGTATTGCTCCAAGTCCGTGTTTTGATGCGTCAACTTGTAGCGTGATATGTTTTGATGGATTGAAGTACGCCAGCACTGGTTCACTGGTGATTAGTTTCTTGACATGGTTTAAAGCGCTGTCATGTCTCTGATCCCAGTGGAATGCTATCGTCTTCTTCGTTAGTTCCCTTAATGGAGTTGTAATTTCAGAAAGTGAAGGCGAGAATCTGGCTAGGTAGTTGATCATTCCTAATATTGTTTCCAGTTCTTTCTTGTCTGATGGAGCCTTCATTTCGTCGATTGCCTTTACTTTCTCTGGATCTATTTTGATTCCATCAGCTGTAATAAGGTGACCGAAGTAGCTAACTTCTGTGGTCCCTATAACTAATTTGTCTGGATTCAATTTAACATTTTTCTGGCAACTTCTATTAAGAACTGCGAGCAAGTTAGCGTCGTGTTCTTCACGTGTTCTGCCGAATATTAATATATCATCTACGATCGCTATGCATCCGGGAATATCGCCATAGATTTCGTCAATCTTACGTTGAAAAACATCTTGAGCTGAGATGATCCCGAAAGGCATGCGCAGGAATCTGTATCTGCCGTATATTGAATTGAAAGTTGTTAGGTATGAAGAAGATTCCGTTAGCTTGATGTTCCAATAACCAGATCTAGCATCTAATTTGCTGAAAAACTTGGCTCCATTAAGTAAGGCAAAAGCATCATCAATAGTTTTAAGATGGTAATGAGGTCTTTTAATCGCTCTGTTTAGGTCCAGAGGATCCAGGCATATTCTGAGTTTTTTGCTGTGTGGTTTTTCTACCACGACTAACGAATTTACCCAATCTGTAGGTTCTGTAACCTTTTTAATGATGTTATTCTTCTCCATATTATCAAGTTCATTCTTGAGGCGATCCTGTATGGAATGTGGAACTCGTCTCGGAGCATGTACTGCTGGGACGGCATTATCTTCGATTTGAATTGTGACTTCGCCATCAAATTCGCCAATTCCTTTAAATATATTTTTGTATTCATTCAAAACGGATTCACGTGAGAGTGGAATCGTTGCTTCTTCGAGAGAAAATATGAATTTTACCAACTTCATTTTGGTTAAGAGAGGCAAGCCTAGTATGGGAGGACCTGTGGTATTTATGATGTAAAATTTATCAGTGGCTGATTTGGTTTTATAGCTACACTGTAAATCTATGAATCCGTGGACTTTTAATTGTTGTCCTGAGTATCCGGTGAGTCGCTCTTCTGTGTTCTTCAATAGAGGGGGGTTTGGAATTTTCTGGAAATGGTCGAATGGTAGGACATTGACTTGAGATCCTGTATCAATTTTGAAAGTTGTTGTTTGCCCTTGACCTATTTCCAATTTTACAAAAGCTTGGTCTTTTGGTGTCCCTTTGCCCTCTATAGAGTCAATATATAACTCGCTGACATCAGTATCCGAGTAGCTGTCATCATCCTGATCTATTGTGTGTATCTTTCTGTGATCTCTGTAATTGAAAGAACCAGAACGGCAAACAATTGCAAAATGATGCCATTTTCTGCATTTCGAACACTGTGATCCTTTTGCTGGACATCTTTGATGTTTTCCGTGCTGTTGACCACAGAATGAACAGCGTTCATCAGGTTGTCTGGAACTCTGATGTGATCGTTGCCTTTGGCCTTGTCTTCGGTTTCGGTTAGCATCACTGTGTTGCGATCTGTCAGTGTGCTTATGTCGGAACTTTGAAATAGCGTCTACTGTTTCTAGAGATTGCTGTGGCTGTGCTTTGGAGCTTGACATTGATTTAAGGTGAGATTGTGTTATTTCATGTGAACGACATATGTCTATAGCCTTTGTCATGTCCAACGTATCTCCAATATCGAGAAGTTTTTTCCTGACTTTCGAGTGCAGGATTCCACAGACAATTCTGTCTCTGACCATTTCTTGGGGCTTATCATAGGCACAGTCTTGAACCAAGAGCTGCAGGTCTGTTGTAAATTGTTCTATTGTTTCCCCTTCATGTTGTATTCTTGTCTGAAATTGATATCGGGCGAATAACGAACTTGACTTTGGGGTCACATACGAGTCAAATTTATCTAGAACTGAATTTAAACTTGCTGCTTCTTGTTCTGTAACTGTGAATGTGTTATAGATATCTCTGCCTTTCTCACCGGCCCAAATTAAAAGGTACGCACACTGCTCAGCCTGTGTTGCTTTCTTTAATGGTCCCATAAACATCAAACGGACGTGTTGCTTGAACTTTTTCCATGCTTCGGGAAGGTTCTTTGAACTCCAGTCTACGTTAGGATGCGGTGTAGAGGACATTGTTTTGCTAGTGTGTGTAAATCAGTTATTATGGCGCCGAAATTAGTGAGTTTGACAAAAAATGTTCCTGTATCTTAATTCCGCCCCATCTGTCGGAAATTCGTATTTTATAATGAGGAGTGAGGATTTCTTTTTAGTTTTGATCCATTCTGACACCATGTTTCATGATTGTACGGACGATGTGGACGGATTGGTAACACTGAGATATAAAGTACACTATTTATGGTTCAGCCATCTTTAATCAACCGACTTCCTAAATGGAGATAACTCTATTCTGCTATAAGCCAGGAGGGGTTATCTCCCATTTTACATGTTAATACTAATACATAATAAAGAGTACAAGGAAAGCTTGTACATCATATTACAGACCCCCCTAGACACATGATTGCTACTGATAAGAGGACTGTGCCATATGATGAAATTTTTGTTTTGCAGTCAGCAGTAATCTACAATGATGACAATGTGAAAGATTTTTGCTTAAAAAAGGAACCATCCTGATTTTAAATAAAAGAGGAATGGTGTATTTACCTTGTCTCAAAATTTCAGCTCAAAATATTGATTCATTTGGACGTAAACGGAAAAACCTCTTATCCAAACACGTAACTCTTTTAAGATTTCGGGTCAATTTTTACTTTCAGTGACCTGATAATCTTAGCCATTTCTTTAAAGTGCATGACCCACGTACTGTACTTGATAACGAAAGGTAAATTTCACCTACATGTAATTTTTATAAAATAAGTCTGTTTTTTTTCAGACACCATATAATACAGCTTGAGACACCGGTCTGCACTTCTAGATGAAGACTGATGGATTTAAGTTATCTGAAAATGTATCACATATATTGAGTTACCGGTAGTTGCTCGGGCATAAGGTATAGGATTTTCAGGACTTCTAACAAAAAATTAAGCAGTTTTATTCTCCAAAATATAATCGGGATTAGCTCTTTAAATATGTTTCACATTTCAACAATAACTACATCTCACCTGCTGTGCATTATTAACATGAACATCTGAACAACTCTCAGCACCCCAATCACCATCAATATGGGCATTTAACTCATTACGAATAGAATTCACAAAAATCTTAAATAAAATACGATACTGAATTTAAAATAAATTGTCATACCCGTTTATGTGAATGACGGACATCTAACTTACGGACCACCGCCGACCAAATGCGTTTTACCACCGACCGTCGTGTAACTACCGCCGACCAAATATTTTTTACCGCTGACCACAATGTAATGACTTTCGACCGTCATATAATTACCGCCGACCAAATACTTGTTACCGCCAACCAAATGCTTAATGATTCCTTGTTACCGCCGCCTTTTTTACGGTTGTTTTTTTTTATATAAAAGAATACAACAAGAATGTTATTTTTTATTTGAGGTGTAATCAGGTACAACTGTCGAAAAACATTCATATATATTTTAAAGAATATGGAAGGACAAAACTACAATTTAGATATTGAAGGGCAAATATATCAAGATTGTTTCAGCCACTGGTTATAAATAAATAACATTTTATGCCTATCTTCTATTAGTGCGAGGGTTAGGGTTAGGGTTGTCGACCATATTTATATATAATAAAATCTATATTTTTATCAAACTCTGTGTATTTAACCAAACCTATTTATTTGTCACTAATAATTTAATTAATTTTATATAGTCGGCGGTAACAAGGAATCATTAAGCATTTGGTCGGCGGTAACAAGTATTTGGTCATCGGTAATTATATTACGATCGAAAGTCATTACAATGCGGTCGGCGGTAAAAAGTATTTGGTTGGCAGTAATTTCACGACGGTAGGCGGTAAAAGTATTGGTCGGCGGTAGTCGACGGTAAAAAGTACCACCCGGAATATCCTAAATAACTTTTGTTTTTGGCAAACACCCCCACTGGGATCAACACCAGGCCCCCTGGTTTGTAAGCCAGCCACATATTCACTGAACCACCATGGCTCTCTCTCATAAGAGATTGCAAAATCTTAAGTACCAATAATAACATTGTAGCATAATTGTAAAAGCTTACAGAAACTCCTTCTTGACTTGTTATATAGGGCATCAATTTATTTTGAAATTCTTTATCTTTTGAAAAGAAGTCTTGTATCCTAGACTTAAAAGTTTTGCCCTGAAAAATATTTTAAAAGCAGTAAAATATATTTCAAAGTTATAATATTATTTGCTTCTTATTTCTTTAAGATATCATGATGATTTACCTGTCAGTATAGTCTTACTGATTTTTACCAATCATCAATATTAAACCTTTCAGTTAAATTGAAAACTGCTCCCAAAGTTGGGATAAATGGTTTTCCATTTTCTCTTACATGAATACTCACAGTTTCCTCACTCACTCCAACATGGAAAACGTGCAATAAATGAAAAATAAGCAACTTTAATAGAGATTCTTAAATCTACTTTTTGCATAAAAATCGTGCTTCACAAAATTAACAATCATGCACATACCATGTCAAAGCCAACTTCAGAATAAGTGCCTTTAGTATGTAAAATTGGAATCCGAGTAGAACTTTGTGTTGATGACAGACATGTAACAACCAGGAAAATAAATGTTGTTATCTTAATCATTGTTTCTTTCACCATCATATTTCTCCGGTTCTAGTTTTTCTGAGAAAATAGATTTATATATAAATAATTATATAAACCTATTATCATTATGTTGTCTACGTCATGATGAATGAATTAAGGTACCAGTACCATATCTTGCGTATTCTGTATACAGGTATAATTATAAAACATTTTTATTGTTCATGTAAAATGTGGAAGTTGTGTGGCCAAATGGTCCTACACATGCACTTTAGATCATAAGGTCTGTCATGGAGTTATCTGGCATGGTTTTGACCAACACTTCTACCTTCTGAGTTTTCTCTGGGTCCTCCAGATTCCTCCCACTGCTTATAAAATATGATCCCTTTGCATGCAATCGAAGTATTGAAATAAAATTGTACCATGTCTGCCCCCAAAATGACCTGGTTTGTGTTAATCAAAGTAATCAACCTAATTTGTGTTTTGTATGTTAAAGGAGCTAAATCGCTGATATTTGGGACCTAGAAATTGACACAAATGGGTGGCAACGCATATAATAATGTTATGTGAATGTATATAAACTGATTTACATTCAACCGTTTCTGTTTTTTACTGTAATGTCTAATCCGTTATGTTCGGCGAAATACGCCAGAAGTCTCAATTGAATGGCAATCTTTAGCGTCTTGTTATTCCAGTCTACACCAATGATATTTATTGCGCATGCTCTCCAGATAAGAATTAATATAGCGTCACCATTTGACATGACTTGTGGAATATGTCTAGCCGCGTTCTTTGAGTGCCTTGTTCCAAATGGCGCTGAAACGCATTATGGTACACGAATCGTGTACCAATGGTAAAATGTTTTTTTTGTCTTGAATATTAGATACCAGAAGCCCATCTTATACCTGTAAGATCACAAGACCAATGTTGATTTGAATTGACAAATAATTTGTGTTTTCAAAGTCGAAGATTTTTGATGATATTGAGTTAGAGACTTAGCTACTTTAAACTCTGAACGGCAACCAAAATTTTCAAATTTAATAATAGGGCTTTTCTTTTCTTATAAATTAGCCTGGCAAAAGAACTGCAATCCAACCAAATATTTAAACATATATTGAAGACCTCTGTCTGGTTTACAAGATCGATCCAGTGAACCATTAAATAATAATGGCAAGCCAATAATAATACTAACACAATTTGAAAAATATTCCAAGACCAAGTCAATTCGAAGACACACTATTCACATTCTGATTCTACTCTGTCACACTCTGTGGTGAAGTCGGTGAAACTCTTTAAAGTAAAGATAATTGACCTGATAAGATAACAGCTAAAATATACTGTCTGTGTGAGTGCGCACTGCATTGCAATCAAATTCGTTACCATATATATAACAAGCAAAATCAGCGATAGGTCATTAGCCAAATTTTATACCATTTGCAAATAAACTAATAATAATTAGTAGGACAACCTAAAACAAACCGAAAGTAGAGAAAATAAATATTACGTCACAGGGAATTAACTCCGTTTCATGTTTATAGAGTTATCTTATTGGTTAATCTGACCAATCATTTTTCACTTTTCTTTATTGCCTCGATTTGGAAAAGTCGACACAAATATGGCGGACTTTTGAAAGAAATTTAAGGAAATGATAGATGTTTGAAGTATTTAGCGAACAGATTGCTAATTTATCTTCCAAAGGCAGGTTTTCTGAATATATACTGCACAGTTGTAGCAAAGTACGGTCTTTAAAATGTTGTTCGAAAGGACAAGATTCCTAAATAGGCCTATATGAGTATATGATGATCTGAAAAACAAATAACAACAACCTCAAGTTCGCTCAAGGCTCAACACGATTTTGGCAGTTTAGTCCAGTCTAGCAAATTCCAAATCATATTAATACTTATCTGTTTATGAATTTTAAAGTAGCTAAGTCCGTAACTCAATATCATCCAAAATCTTCGACATTGGTGTTGTGATCTTACCTGGAAAAGATGGGCTTCTGATATCCAATATTTAAGACAAAATACACATTTTACCATTGGTACACGAATCGTGTACCATAATACGTTTCAACACCATTTGTTACAAGGTGCTCAAAGAATGAGGCTAGACATATTCCACAAGTCATGTCAAACGGTGATATCATGTTCTTATTTGGAGAGCATGCCCAATAAATAATATCGGTGTTGACTGGAATAACCAGACGCTAGAAACTGACTTGTGGTTGAGACTTCTGGCGTATTTCGCTGAACTTAACTCATGACAATTCACAGTAAAACGGACACCATTGAATGTAAAACAGTTTATATAATTTCATATTACATTATTATATGTGTTGCGACACATTTGTGCCAATTTCTAGGTCCAAAATATTAGCGATTTAGCTCCTTTAAACTACATTCTAATTTAAAGGAGCTAATACTCTTTGAGTACTCAATAGGCTAGTAGCTTCAAACAATATGCCTGCGACGCAGTCTGGTGTTTTGAAAATATTATTATGATAATTATGGGCTTCTGATATCCAGTATTTATTTAAGACAAAATGAACATTTTAATATCAGTTTGTTTCTCTATGGTCTCAAGCACCATTTGTAATGATGAGGCGCTTAGTTCAGCTCTGAACGTAGGTCTTGTTACACTTGCCCTGTATGTTCAGGAACCGTCCAATCCTTGGCGAAAAAATTTCAATTCCCAGTAAATTTTACTGGGCAACTTTATACTGCTAAACGGTCGCGTGTCAGTCCCTGTGAACGCCTGAACAATGTAAATGAACATCTTAGTGAGAAAATAAGGGGTGGTACTTTTTACCGCCGACCAATACTTTTACCGCCGACCAAGTACTTTTTATCGCCGACCGCATTGTAATGACTTTCGACTGTAATATAATTACCGCCGACCAAATACTTGTTACCGCCGACCAAATGCTTAATGATTCCTTGTTACCGCCGACTATATAAAATTAATTAAATTATTAGTGACAAATAAATAGGTTTGGTTAAATACACAGAGTTTGATAAAAATATAGATTTTATTATATATAAATATGGTCGACAACCCTAACCCTCGCACTAATAGAAAATAGGCCTAAAATGTTATTTATTTATAACCAGTAGCTGAAACAATCTTGATATTTTTTTTATTTGCCCTTCAATATCTAAATTGTAGCTTTGTCCTTCCATATTCTTTAAAATATATATGAATGTTTTTCGACAGTTGTACGTGATTACACCTCAAATAAAAAATAACATTCTTTTTGTATTCTTTTTTATAAAAAAAAACCAGTCGTAAAATAGTCGGCGGTAACAAGGAATCAATTAGGTATTAATGACAAGGTAGTGTACATTACATGCACATAAACATAGAAATCACTATATTGTTTATATTAAAATGACTTATTTTTCCTTTATTCATAGAACTTAAATGATTATAATACTAGATTGTACTTGCCTGTGGGCATCATAAATGTAATCTATTAGTTTGAACCATTTGTTGTATTATTTCATTCTGTTTTGAACTTACAGTCAGATGATCAGATGATGTACAATGGATTCCAGACTTTCTTCACATTTAATGGAAGATTTGTCCTTTGTGACTGAAAATGGCCTGAGACAATCATTAGATGACCATACAGTATGCATAACACCAAGACCGCTAGCAGCTTCGACAGTTGTGAGACCAAGAGATAATGTCAAGTAAGTTTTAATTATAATGCAATGGATTAATATTTTACAGTATAAGTACCAATCTATTTGATAGTTATTAGATTAGATTGTCGTTACAAGCGATATTCCAGTGCAGATGATATTGATTTACTGTTCCATGTACATGTAGTTGGTTAGATCTATATGGTAAAGAATAAAGATACCTCTGATGTAGAATCTCTACTGTCAAAATAACCTTTTTTGTCATGAAATAATTGGCAGAAAATTAGTTTATACATATGTATAATGAAATGTACTACTCTATCTTCTTAAGGAACAGAGATCCATTGTCATCTGATCCAAGGGGATCATTTATTAATACCACTCCTAATATGCCTCCACAACATGATCAAGATTTTGAAAAGTTGACATTCAGTGGCTCCAATGGATCAGACAAATCCGAGTCAAGGTAATTTAAAATTATAAAATCTATTAATTTTAATTAAAAATTTTATGACATTATAAGCTCTTGGCCCACAACAATATTAATGATCCCATGAGATGAATCTTTCTAAAAAGCTAGTAACTGATTGCAAATAGAAAAGAGTTATATGATACTGTAGTTTAAGACTATATGACCACTTCTGCATCATTCCTATTGAAGTAACCTGTTTTCATTAGCCCAGTTGCTTTAGAACAGTAAGATGGTAACCCCATTTATCTATTGAAGTACTAGTTGTATACCAGTATTTCTGTTGATGTTTGAATATTGGTACATGTATAATGTTTGTATTTATAGAAGAAGTGAGGAAACAGGATGCAATGATGTCAGTGCTAGATCATCTTTAGGATTAATACATGTTGAAGCTATGAATGGTGAGAACTGGCATGCTTTATTCATAAAACTGTACTCAAGTCTATGTAGAATAGTTAGTAACTCTAAGAACAATCCATTGCTTTGTGTGTATTATTTTCGTTAGAATAGATTTCATAATCTCATTAATTGAATTTATATCACTGTTCTTCTAGTCAGATATTTTTACTGATATTTTAAACTTTTATGTTTAGACAATGACCTTATTTTTACTGGTAAGTCTATGCACGCTGTTCTTGTCATCTTGGGTTATAATTTGTTATTTACCATTACACAGCATCATTTAATTATCATGATAAAGTTTATACATAGTTTATACATAGTTACTACACAAACTAATACGTAAATTATAAACTGCATGAATTATAATTGATAAATGAATGTGACAAAGAGAATGTTGCTTGTAATTTAAAGAGATACGTTCGCTCAGTGAGTAAGGCGCGCCAGGGTTGGATCCCAGTGTTGACTGAGAAAGTTACCCAGGATTTTGCAGTTTGGTTTCCTCTTGTCAGTGCCAGTGGTGCAAAAAATGAAGTCCCATGTACACTTAGCCATGCCCGTCAAAAAAAAAACCTTGACAGTTGAAATTCAACTATTTCCCTCATTGTACACTGTATGGCGTATGCCTATCTTCATTAGCCCACATGGAACAGGACTGTACGTCATTTCATTTATTCATTAAATCTATTTACCATATATAATGACACTGAAAAGAAAATAATAAAAGTTAATATTTTTATTGCATGATGATAGTTTTAGTTTTAAATTACTAATTTATTTCCTCTCACCATTCATTTAAACATACATACATAAATCTGCCTATTTCAGGTCTTCCTTTAGGCCTGAAATGTTATCTAAATTATTAATTAGACATTAATTAACCTATCCAGACCATAATCAACTCTAGATGGCATCGCTAGCCCGCGATCTTTAGTGGAAATGAGCCGATTTACTGCATAACTCTCCTTCACGATTTAACGATTAAATGGATAATCGAGAGTATGCTGTTTATCGTACTGACTTTAGTAATGATGATCAAGGCTACCCGGAAATTTCAACCGCTTAGTTCTCAGTTCATAGTGGATCAATTTAAATGAAATTTTCAGCAAATTGCCTTTACATTATCTAGATTTAACTATTATAGTGAGAACTGCCAAATCATTATCGAATCTCCCATAATGTATCTTTAATTCAGTAATCAAAATCTTTTGGTTCAGACTTATAATGTAGTAGTATTATGAATAAAATATTTTTTGTACTATTAATGTACGTATATTGATGATTATTATTATATTCAATATCATCATAAACCCATTTTTTTTCTGCAATAATCTTTATAAAATTTGAAAGCTGATTTACATGTACATGTATCCTAGTAGAATTATTGGTTTTTATATTTTAAATAATTTCTATCATAAAAGGGGTTTTGCAAATCGTATTTGAATTTTTTATTACAGATTTATCCTCAAGTGCCCTGTTGATTAACAATTTATCTACAGTAAAACAAGGACAGATGTCAAATATGACCTCGACCAATCAACAGAGTACTTTCGTTAATCGACTAACCCCTAGCTATTCACACCAACAATCATCATTAAATGGACAATCAACTGCTGATTCAAATGACTGGCGTGACTCGTCAAAACAGGATTCTAAAAATCACGCCATCGGAAGCAGCCATGTTATGGACACAGTTAAAAAGAGACCTGACGGTAATTCTGCTGTTGTTGGGAAAGGTAACCAGCAGGCGGCTGTTGCAATGTCTTTATTTGGTGGTGGTATTCTTGGTGATGTATCAGAAGGGTGTGAAATGGATGCCAGCATCCATGATGTGCAATTTGAAGCTGATGAGCTACAATTGTTGGATGAAGATTTCAGTGATTTGGAAGAAGTTGCTTCTACAGATGATGAAGAGTTTGGAGCTTCTGGGTTCAAAGTTCAGAAAACATTAACTGATGATGATAAACTTGGTGTAAATACTGATGATGCTGAGGATGATATTAATGAAGGGTCTGTTGAAGATAGACATGGTGCTGTAGGAGAAGAAAGTAAGTTAATGTAGGCATTTTCTTAAAAACTTTGCTACATGTACAGTTTGTACATATGTCTGTTTTTGTAAAAATTTGGAAAACTTCAGGGTCTGTATTTTTCCTCCATGAATTCTCTTTCAAAAATATTTAATTTGAAGAATTATAATGAGCTTTGTTTTGTTTCTAGATAGGCTGACGTTTTATCTATTAATTTATCTATGTTTGTTTTAGGTTGGAATTTAGATCAGAAATATTTTCGAGTAAGTCCTGCTGTTTATAGTACAGGTGAAAGAAGAGAATTACCTGGTCGACCAAACTTTACTCAAAATACAGGTATTGTTGATAATCCTTCTTCTTATTACCCTTGCAGTTTAAGTACAGTTTTAATTTAAGTACAATTTTTTTAGGGTGTGTGTGTGTGTGTGTGGGAGGAGGGGTTGTAGTTGATTATGAAATATCTGTTGAACTATAAGTAATACGTTATATTTTATTGTAGTAGATTGGACAGGTCCATCATTTAACCTATTGGGTGACAGTGGTCAGAGATATTGTGATGGGGAAGGTAGTGAAACAGATGATGAACCAAATGGATCTATATTAACTAGGAACATCTCACAACAACAATCATACTTACGTGAAGCAGGTATATATTTTCTTTATTATAAACAATAAATTGTGAAAATATCAGAGGATTTTAGCTTGTCACTCAAGCTAACATTTCCGCTTGTCATTGGTGCTGGATGGAGGGCCTGGCGAGGAACAGTGTCTGGTCGTTTGGATGGGATGAAAACAGTTGGCATCCAATTGTTGTCCGAGCAGATTTGCCTTCTAGCACTCTGTTTGAATACAGATTGAGTTCAAATTCTGCTTCAATGACAAAAATACCCTGAATTGTCTATTTAATACAGATATCTATAAAAAATAATTCAAATTTTAGGTTTAGTTGGTCAAACGTCTGTAAAATCTGTATTTGAAAGACAGTCTGGTGAAGGAGAGGTTAGTGATTCTCCAGATTCAAGTGTTGTTGGTGGTGTAGGGCTAGGGGATGGAAGCAGTGGTCCTGAAAGGTAATAATAAATATTACATTTATAACTTAAAAGATATGTTGTGAGCAGTGATGGGATTTTGCCCGTATATTCTGAATCAACGTATTTATCGTGTTATACGGTCTATAAACCTACCTCGATTAACTATATAATCTGCCTTGATTGACTGACTTAATCCTTTGTCGGACAATTCATAAATCTAATCTTAAACAGAAGCCATTGTTTCCTCTTTGTCGGACTATTCATCAATCCATTATAATTTTAATCTTCGTGTTAACCTCGTGGTTTCTGCATTGTCGGACATTTTAATCGCATTGATGTGAGCCGACAATATGTATAAACTAGTCATAGAAGTCACATATTGTAAGAGTATATAAAGCCCAGATCAATAGACAGTCATTATAATTCCTCTGCGATATCACTTCGGTGGAAGCGAGCGTTAAATAAAGCTATTTCACACACACAAATATCCGAAAAATACTAGACATTGCTAGCACGCGGTTACAGCACTCGTGAAACCTCGCCAGATTCCGTTACTCTACATCTATGACGGTAAGTGATATGTACCTATGAACTTGCCGGTTTTAGAAAGAAGTTATCAAAATTGCGTCGTTTGAAGTGTGTTTAGAATTTTCAGAGCAAAGTTGTCCTTGTTTGAAGAAAATCTGATTAAACTTGAAAGAAAAACAGCTTCAGGCGGTTAAAGTACGATAACTGAACCGATATTAGAAATCTCGCGAGACGCGTGAAATTATGAAATAAATACATGACAAAATACACGCTTCTAATTTCGAAGAATACGTGACAAAATACACGCTCCTAATTTCGAAGAAAAGATTCTATTTTGATGGCATATTCTCAGATTTATGATCATATTTTGAATGGGGTTTATGTTTTTAAATAAAGAAATAAGTAATCTAGTGTAAGTACTTTATTGTTTTAGACGATAGCGCGTGCTAAAGTAGAATGCGATTATTTAGCGGATGGTGTCATTCGCTCGTTGTGGTATAACGACGTTTATTGGCCCAAAAATTTCGGGATATCATATTCTTACCCTCTGTACATAAGTCGTAACGGAGTATAAGATGAATGCCAGACTTCTGCTGAAAAATGTAGCGACTTATGACCCGAAAATACGGTAATTTTGGAGGGATTTGAAACAGTACAGATCGGCAGTAGTCGGCACACTTTCATTCTATCGTATTACGAATTTTGCAGGAATATTACTGACATAAATTTGAATACCGTACGTGAATTAAATATGAAAAATAACGAGGTGCACCTATTTTTTTATTACGGACAAATTTGAATATTTTGTTTACATGTGATTTTTGTGTGTGGTTTAAAAACTGCCATCTTAAATAACTATAAGAGTTATGTCCCTTTATTTTCGGTAAAAATGTCCGACAAAAAAAAATTGAAATCCCATCACTAGCTTGTTTTTTAACAGGAAATGTAGGAATAATTTAATTTTTGAATTTTTATCTTAGTATGTTGAAATATTAGTGAAACATAATATTTTGTTTTTTCTACTTCAGTGATGATGGTAATCCTAGAGTACCAACAAGTAAAACAACCACACCTCATAGATTTGCTCAACCACACACAACGTCTAATCTTGATCTCTATCCAGGGGTGTGTTTCTTCATATATTTTACATAAATTATCAGATATATTAAAAATTCTGATGACAAAAAAAATACTTAAATTGTAAAAGATATGGATGTCACAATTAGCACTTCAGTAAATCTGGGGGGGGGGGGGAAAACTTAACATGTCTGTCATGTTTATCAAACAGTTAAGACTGTATATTAATTGAAACATGTGATATTATTTCAAATCTGTTTGCCGAGACCCATGTGTACACACAATGGTGGTCATGGTTTTGGTTGACAAATAGAAAATACAAAACAAAAGGTAAACATTTGTATTAATTTTACAGGAAGAGCGACAGCGTCCAATGGGAAATGATCTTCTAACAGAAAGTCACATGACCAGTAGATATCAAACATCTGTTCATCAACCTGTATCTTATATGACAGACGATGATATTCATGTAAGTTTCATAAAATAACCAATAACATATCTGCTTTTCAATGTAGTGATACATATATTATGGTTATAAGGCCATATGAAAAAAGTTACTGCTTATAAATGAACTTGAATTCAGCTTTATGGTCAGAAATAAATTTTAGCTAGGTATCTCAAGAATTATTCATTATGCCAGTGAATTACTATAAACAACATGTATAAACTGATTTTGCGATAAATCTAGAACCTGTAAATGTAATGTTTTTTATTACGTAATTTTGTCACTAGATCCTTTGACGAAATCAAAGCCAAAAATAAAAACCAGATGCATTCATCAAAGATGTATTATATATTATGATATATTTTTGTATTTTAAAATATTTTATTTTTAGCTTAATGATGGGAGAACGAGTCAAGGGAATGACTTTTTACTCCAGAGCCAATTTTTCGCAGAAACGAACCAATCTGAGATCACCACCAATCAGTCAATAACACCATTGAATAACAGTTCCTTCCATTTAGAGGATATATTAAATGGAACACAAGAAGAATCAAGCTATCAGAGAGAAGGAGAAAGAATGGGAGCGTTTGGTTTTAATGCTGCTGATTTACCTCAGGTACATTGTACCTCATGAAGCCTAGTCTAAAAAAATAAATTTCCCATTATTAATGCAACAGAGCATTTAAAGTGATATACATAGTTGCTTATTGATAAGAACAGAATTTGAAGTGATTAAGATATTATGGTGGAATCGCTGTGGAATCTGTGTTTTTATCAACCTCATAGGAATAGGATAAAAATCGAGATTCTGAGAAGCAAATACAACAAAAATGGATAAACTGATAATTTCCTAACCCTGTGGTTTTTCTCTGGAATCTCTGGCTTCCTCCCACTGCTAAAAAACCCTATACGCAAACGAATAATTGAAAAAAACTTGTCCTATATATTAGTCCCAATATTTTCTCCTTTTTTTTGGTAATTCTTATTTCATTTTAAATGATTGAATGAGTTCTCATCAAATAAATCACTATAATTTGTATTTATTTTTCCCAGGGTAATGATCCTTTCAGTAATTTTAATTCATCTTTTGGGTCTTTTGGACTAAAAGCTAATGCACAAGATGATAAGAATGATGAAAGTATTCAAAGTGGTCACAATGAAACATGGTCTTCCGATCCAAAACCAGATGCAGAAATTGGGAATAGCAATTACAGAACGTCTTCCAGCCAACTTGCAAGTTCAAAACTTGAACCTGATTTTACTAAACCTGATCGCAGATCCTCAGGAAAACACAACGTGTCTTCCAAGTTTCAAACATCGAGTTCTTCATCACGTTTACAAGATACATCTGCTGCTAAATCAACCAATAGAAAATCCAGCACTTCCCTTCATAGATCAGAAAGTCTCCCAAAAGATAAGCGAACATGTGAAATTTTGCCTGAGGTAAGAGTTTTTTTTGTAGACTGCTTATGTTCATGTAGATTGGTTGATGGTTTTTAAGTGTATATTGAGGGGTTGGATGGTCGAACAGTTAGTGTGTGCGCTTTGCATCATAAGGTCTGTCATTGAGTCAGCTGACATGGTTTCAATTCCCCAGTTGTACGTGACAAGGAGTAGGGTCGTCTGTCCAGATTGTGAATTTTCTCGGGGTCTTCCAGTTTCTTCCCACTGCTAAAGACCCCTATGCTCAAGCAAATTGTGGAAATAAAATTGAACCATATCTTAGTCCCAAAATTTCCTAGTTTATGTTGAGTGGATGTTAAACCCCATTTCTCTCTCTCTCTTTATTAATTTTAGTAACTGAAAGCTATGCATCAAGCAAATAAAATTTTTTTCTTGATATAAAAAATTACAAAATTATCCTTTTGTAGACTAAATGTCGTTCAGACAATGTACATGGTGCTAGAAATCCATCAGGTGGAATTATTAAACCACTAAAAGACACACCTAGACCTCAACAACCATCTAAACACCAAAAAGATCCTTTTACAAAGATGCCTGTTCCAGTATCTTCCATTGGTCAATCTTCCAAACTGAGACCACCTGCCAACCACAATGCAGCCACAAGAGGAGGTAAAATAATAAGTTTTTTCCTGTGATACTTATAGTGATTCTCTTATAGTTTCACAACAGTCTCTATGAATATGTGTAGTACCATGGGTCTTTTGTCAGATGTGGAGAGCAGACCACGCAAAACCAGTCGCCATATCCTACCTATGACCCATGCATCTTTTCTTACTACATGTACATATCTTAGTAGCCTTGCGATCGTCTAGTATTTTCACTTGTCGTCTTTGCTTCCACATCACGGTTGTCTTACCAGGAATAACAATACAACAGTTTGTTTTTACATTTTATATATCATAGCTGGATACATATAAGCTGGGGTGAGTCTGCTGATTGAAATTGCTACATCTTGTCCCTTCTAGAATCAAGCTGCTGTCTGACAAATGCCCGAAATATATCACGGTTGTCTTACCAGGAATAACAATACAACAGTTTGTTTTTACATTTTATATATCATAGCTGGATACATATAAGCTGGGGTGAGTCTGCTGATAGAAATTGCTACATCTTGTCCCTTCTAGAATCAAGCTGCTGTCTGACAAATGCCCGAAATATATGATAGTCTTGTATCTTTGCATTTGGGCGTTCAATTATCTAATTGGTCAAATATGAAGTAATTAATTATAACGATTGGTTACTCAACCCACATGATGAAATTAGTAAATTTCCAATAACGTATTAAACATGATATTCTAATTCCCACGGAACCAAATTATAACTATTTTTTATATAACAATCTGTCTTTCATTCACTTATTTTATTTAAGTACATATATGTGAATCTAATAATTTGACAAAGATATTAATTAATTCAATGCTACTAATTTAAAGAGCAAAAATTTGAGCAAAAGTCTTACATGTGATACTTAACATGAGTTTTTTCTGTTATAGTCTCTATGACATATATCACTATACATGTAGTATCTGATACTTAACATAAGTTGTTCCATTATAGTATCACTAATTCACTATAGTCTCTATACTTGTACAGACCAAATTTATAGTTTTATACAAAGTGATTAATGTCATGAGAAAAACCATGGTCTATAGCTAAAATGTGAACTGCTGAGTTCTTGGACTTGCATTTAGTTTTGTTCATGCCAAATTTGATGAAAATCCATGCAGGCATAACTGAGAAATTGGTGTTTATTAGGTCAATGCCTTGATGGAGTTCGAAGATGAGCATTTTCGGTTTAGGGTAAGAAGAGATAAGCAATTTGATTGGTTGAAGCTTTGGGACACGATAACTTTAGTTCTAATTAAGTGAGAGTGATGAAACTTGGTGTATAGTATCATTACATCAATACCTTGACTAAGTTCGATAATGAGCATTTTCTGCTCAGAGCGATAAGCAATTTGATTGGTCGAGACTTTGGAACACAATAACTCTCCTTCTAATTGAGGTAGAATGTTCAAACTTGGCGTAGGTGTCTATTAGGTGAATGTTTAAACTTGATGTAGATATCCATAAGGTGAATGTCTTGACTGAGTTCAATGATTAACATTTCGAGCTGAAGCTAAGCAAAGCTAATCGATTTCATTTGTCGAAGAAACTTAGTGAAAAAAATAAATGTGCGATTAATCAATATGTGTCATCTATTTATTTTGCAATTTCGGCGGGGACATCAGCCTCACTGTTGGCTTGTTTATACTTATTCCTTATACTTTAAGGCTAACCTCTATTATTTTTGGTGCATGCCCGACCCCCTAGGACAGAGCCACGCCCAATGTTTTTGTGTCTTGTGTTTCGCGCACAGGCCGTAATTGTTAACAGATCATTTGGAAACTTTGCATACCTATTCCTTTTTTTTACCTTAAGGATGACCCCTATTGTTTTTTGGTGATTGCCCAACCCCAGGGGCAGAGCCATACCAATTTTTCTTTGTGTCTGTGTGTGTTGCCTACAGGCCACGATTCTTAATGGATCTTTGAACTTGTGATATGTATTCCTTATAGCCTAAAGACGACAAGTGCATGTCCCGACCCCCAGGGACAGAGCCACGCCCAATTTTTGTGTTTGTCATTTACAGACCGCAATTCTGAATGAATCAGATTGGTACTTGGCATATGTATTCCTTATAACCTGAGGGCATCAACTATTGATTTTGGTGAATGCCCTGACCCCCAGGGGCAGAGCCATGTCCAGTTTTTGCCTCTAGCGCCCGAAAGCCACAATTCTGAATGGATTATCTTGGTATACTTATTCCTTATACTCTAAGGATGGCAACTATTGATGTTGATGCACGACCCCCTCCTCCAAACCCCCTGCACCCCCACCCCATGCCCTTTCGGCTGTACCACACCCACTTTTTGTTGATATTTTGTCTGTAAATGATATACAGGTTGCAATTATTAACAGATTTGGATCCAATTTGGAATGATACAGCATAGGGTTGTACATTTGTACCTATAAATATATTGATCCATGTCCAACCCCGAGGGATAGAGCCACGCCCAATTTTTGTGTTTTTTGTCTACAGACTGGCATTCTAAATGGATTATTTTGGCATATTTATTCCTTATACTGTATGGATAGCAACTATTTATTTTGGTGCATGTCCCGACCCCCCAGGGTTGTGGTACCGCACCCACTTTTTTGTTAGTTTTTATCGGTAAATACTCTACAGGTTGCAATGATTAACAGATTTTGTTCACATTCAACATATCAATCATTTCAATAACATGGCTGTGCCTATTTATATTGTTCCATATCCAACCCCCAGGGACAGAGCCATGCCCAGTTTTTATACGCCCACATTTTCATGTGGACGTACATGTATATTGTCGTCGCCCCTGTCCGTCCGGACGTCCATCCACAATTTGTTTATGGACACTCTACAGGTCACAATTCTTATCTGATTTTGACGAAACTTGAAATATAGGTTTATCTCCAAAAGATCTTGGTTGCTTTCGGTATTGGCATGATGTATCGGATCGAAACTTCATGGATTACGGCCCCAGATCGTACGAAAAATCACGTTTTTAGCTTGTGGACCCTATAGAGGTCACAATTTTAATCCTATTTTGATGAAACTTGAAATGTAAGTTTATACATCATATTTGACCAATTAGATAATTGAAGGTCCAAAACCTAAAGCTACAAAACTATCATGTGAGAATTTGTCAGACAGCAGCTTGATTCTAGAGTAGAAGGGATAAGATGTAGCAATTTCTATCAGCAGACTCGCCCGCCGGAAAGGGTTTGAGAGAATGACTTTATTATTGCAATCTATTGCAAAGTATGCTTACATGTATATGTATCCAGCTATGATATATAAAATGTAAAAATGAACTGTTGTATTGTTATTCCTGGTAAGAGAGGTCTTAACTACTGAGAAGACAAACGTCTTAACTATTTAGATAAAAAGAAGAGAATGCACATCGTGAAGGGGAAGTAAAGACGGCAAGTGAAAATACTAGACGATCACAAGGCTAAGATATGTAGTAAGAAAAGATGCATAGGTCATACGTAGGATGTGGTGACCATTTTGCGTAATCCGCTCTCCACGTCTGACAAAAGACCCATGGTGCTACAAATTTCCAGATCTTTCAAAAAATTGTTGCAATTAATGATATGTTAAAGATACATTCCCGCATACAAACTGGGTGATTTGATGATATATTTGGACTAAAAACATATTCAAACTAATTAATTTATCATAATTTTGCTTCAAATCCTTCTCAAAACATTGAAATGCAATTGTCAGGGAATACCCTTGCTATAAAAAATCGAGCCAAAGCGGTCATGTTTATGTCACCCTTGTTGACTGCCAAGACGAATAAACTGTCGTGGGTGTATGCTTGGTTGCTGGCAACCTATTTTTTTCTGCTGTTATTTCAGATGTTAATAAGTCAGAGGTTGCTCCACTTCCACCATCCCAGACAACAAATCTGGCCTTTCATATGTCATTTAATGAAGAAGCAGTTAAACAGAAAGAAATGTTTGATAGAGATTTTCCTGCTGATGATGAATTTCGCTCAACAGGTTTTTGCTTTTAATTTTTATAATCCCCCGAAAATTTATTCTGGTCCTTATACGCCTTATAAAAATATGAGCTCTCAAAGCCGAGTGAAAATTATTTTTACATCACCAAAACGAAAGATATTCGTTTATATAACGGTTTATTACCCAACCATTGTTCAATTTAGTAAGCCCTCCCAAGAGAAATGGCATCTATTATCCTATTCGGAAATAGCGCATGCCATACATCCTCCAAAAAAGCCCGTCAAATCATTTAGAATGCTGATATGTAGGTAGAAATGATACAAAAAATTAGGCTTTCAATGACTGATCCCGACTGAGACATAAATGATATGTCACGTTGCAGGATATTTTTTGAACCATTTTTAATCGAAATGGATTCATATTTTAGAACTTTTGCATCGGACGGCTATACAATTTTATAAGATTTAGTCCCGAAGGGTCCCCACATTCTTTATAGTTGTATATTGCCATCGTCTCCGTCTGTCACAATTTCTTGTGAACACTCTATAGTCTACATTTATCATCTGATCAGTTTGCAATTTTTATACATTGTTAACATTAGTGAGACGAAGAGGCCTATTTAATTTCAACAATATTTTTTAATTGTCCCCTACGTTTCGAAGAAGGCAGGGAACTATTAATATCATATTCCTGAAGCAATGGCCCGAGAAATCCCTCTCTGCCCATTTTTGGATTGGCTTCTGAATTCTGATACTTGAGCTTTTGAGGGAGTGTGTCTATTCTTCCCGTTCAATCAAATCTATCCCAAATACAGCAAGATGACAGCCCTTCATTTAATCTGGGGTCTTGCCTAAAAATTGGGATAGTGAGTGATTTAACCCTTTCAATTTATTAATACTGTTAATATATTTTGTTTGAAGATGCTATTCTAAAAATGGTATATTTTGTACACATCATATTACATTTATTAATACTGTTAATATATTTTGTTAGAAGATGCTATTCTAAAAAATGGCATATTTTGTACACATATTACATTTGTTAATATGGTTGATATTTTTTGTTAGAAGATGCTATTCTAAAAATGTTTGAAGAGGATGAAAAGGAATTCAACAAAGAAAATATTTTTAGTCAGGTAAATATTAGAACTGGATCTTTAAAGATACATTATGTAAGAGCTAAATCTGACTTCAAATATTATATGAATTATTATTTAGACATTTAATCAACTCTCTAGATCATCGGATGACAAAGATATTGTGTGGATTAGACAATGCCATTTTCTTTAAAATGGAATATGAACACTTTGTTTAATATAATAGCAGTGGTACCTGATAATCGAGACTATTTACACTATTTCTTATTAAAACTTCAAACATTTATAGCTTTGTTCGTATTAAAGTTCTTGGAATGATATTTTCAATATATTCATTTCTCGTTCTTTAGTATTGAACTATTATAGCAAGAATGGCCAGCTCGTTATCTAAATCTTACATAATGCCTCTTTATGTTAAGAATTATGTTTTTAGATATTTGCTGAAGATAAATGTCATCAGTATCCTTTGACCTTTGACTGTGTATATAATTGTTTTGTAGTTGATCATGTATTTTTTACAGTTAAAATGAACTAAAATTGACTATTTAACATTTAATTAAAAAATCTAGATATCAGTGATAGATAGGCTACGAGCTTGGATTCAGTCAGTGACAGGCCTCTCACTAGATTTTACTCGAACGCTTTTAATTTGTGTTGGCTTGATTTTATTGTCTGCAGAGAATTTTCACTTCATCAAATCTTTGTAAAACTAAATGGAATTGGACAAATTGTGGACTGATAATCCTTTTAGAGATTTAACTTTCACAATATTGACAATACAAGAATACAAACCCAAATATTTGTAATCAGTGATGGTTTTTTTTCTTCTCTGTAGCATGACAATATGAGTGAGAGTGTTGGACCATCACAAGATGCTCAATGGGCATATCGTAGTGTGATGTCACAAAGTCACTGTACCGTACCTAATGATCCCTGGAGTCGTTTGTCAGTAGGGGAGTACTGGGCACACAGAACCGAGAATCTTGGAACACTAGAGGGCAATCCAGATCTTCCTCGTGTATGTTAAGTATATTCTTTATTATTAAATATATATTTCTTTGATGTATGACCTGTTTATTATTATAAACATCGCAGAAACAATATCCATGCTGTCTTTGTAACTGGAAACAGCATGGCTTATGGAATATGAGGGCTGGCTGAAAAGTTCTAAATCAGAAATGATAGATCAGTTGGGTTGAAACCAGTGTTGGGATTTCAGAATTTTTCTTGTCGGACATTTTTACCAAAAATAAAGGGGCATAACTCAATCCGACCTATTATCAATGAATATCGGGTTGAGTGGTAGATACACTGTAGATACTCAGTACACTATATTAATTTTGGAATTTTGAATATTATTCACTATATCTTGGTCCTATTGAGCATATTCCTGGTCGCACATGTCCGGAATATATTGGCAAAATCCCATCACTGGTTGATACAAACTTTTGCCACCAACAAGTACAATCATTAAATGAATAATAGACATAAGAACTGCAACTGTAGTGTTATTATTGTCTTTGTACCAGGGGGGTCACGGTAGCTAAGTGGGTAAGATGCTTGCTCCCTAACCTGGATGTCGGATGTTCGATCCCTGCATTGGCCGAGAAAGTACATCCAGATTTTCCGGCATGGTTCACCCTTGTCAGTGATGCAGGATGGAGGGCCTGACAAGGACAGCTGTCTAGTCGTTCGGATGGGACGAAAAACCAAGGTCCTGTGCACTCATTGATGTGCATGTAAAAGATCCCTTCATTGTTGTAAATCGATATAAGAGTAGGCCGTGGTGCCGCTGTGTGGGCAAAATTTTCCTCGTAGCACACTGTATGGCATGTGCCCATCATCATTAGCCCAGTTCGGAGCAGAACAGTGGGACATTAAACCTCATTTCATTTCTTTGTACCAGCCCATCGTGTGATCCTGCCCATTGAAATCACCAAAAATGGACAAAACTGGGTATAGGGCAGTCATCAAGTACCTGCAACACAGATACATGTACATGCCAACTTTGTCTCCACTTAAATAGGGGATGATGCCCCTTAATTTTCCGTAATAAAGAAGTGGGCTTGCTGAATTTAAGCGTGGCAGAGATAGCCTTGACAATGACCCTTGTCTTGGAAGACCATCAACAGCAACCATTCAAGAAAGCATTACCCGGGTGCATGACATGGTGATGGCTGATTGACGATTGACCACTGACATATTGCCAGTGTTGTGAGCATCTCTCATGAGTAGTTTGAGCATATTATCACCAAAGTTTCTGCAAAATGGGCGCCAAAGCTCTTGACTGTGGATCAGAAATGTCTCAGAATTCTGACATCCTGTGACAGTTTGTGTCATTTGGAAACAGATCCTGATGATATTTTGGGCAGATTTGTAACCATGGATTCGACCTAATTCCAAATATGAAAGAGGAACTAGCCGGTCATCATTTTCCTAATAATGATGACATCCTGTCAGCCGTGAACAACTTTTTTAGGGTGGGTTAAGAAAATTTCCTCCAGTCCGGCATCCAGGCCTTGCAACATCATTAGCAAAAGTGTGTTCACCTCAAAAGGGACAATGTAAAAAATAAATGGAAACGATAGACTTTGTACAGATCTTTCACAGACAGGCTTAGAACTTTTCAGCCAGCCCTCATATGAATAGGAAACTCTGTGTGTATACTATGAATGTAAATCGAATTTGTATGACTATTTCAGCCTGAGTTTGGAATGAGAATTAAAACACCACCTAATAATAGAAAACCTTTTCCATTGTTTAAAACAGCTAATACATCACCTATGTCTGATATAGGTAACAAATCTGCTAATAGTACCAAAGATCTAAGTAAGTATTGTATTTATTTAACATTTTAGCATAACCCTGATCCATGACATATCTTTACTAATGTCAGATACTGGAGGTTGTATTTACTTTAGATTATCTGATTTGATGTCAAAGTCAAATCAAAATTTAGCTATGCTATGTCATAGGTTTTTAGATCACCTTATTATTATCCAACCCAATTTCAATTTATTTTTTTATCCCTACCATTCTTACCCAGTTGTTTTAAGTTTTGGACTGCAGATCTTCACCTTGCATGACAGAGAGTGAGAGAAATGGGGCTTAACGTCCACTCGACTCAAACTAGGCCATTTCGGGACCAACACATGGTTTAATTTTATTTCAATAATTCGCTTGCGCATAGGAAACCGGAGGACCTGGAGAAAACCCATGAGGTTGGTCAGGCGACCCTACTCCATGTCACGTATAACTGGGGGATCGAAACCACACCAGTTGACTCAATGACAGACCTTATGATACAGCATGCTCGTGCTAACCATTCGGCCATCCAACCCCCCCTTGTATGACAGTTTGTGGTAAGATATAGTTACCTGCTTCACCCTGTATGTTTATACTGGGTTTTGTCAAGAGTGATAAAATGAAATACAGATTGCATCATATGTCAGTCCTAAGATGACCTAAGTAAGTGTACGTTAAAACCCCATTTCTGTCTTCACCATTTCCTGTAAATAGATAGTGTTCAAATTATGAGCTCCATGCTTGACAATGAAAAATTAATATATCATAATTAGAATTTTAATAAATTGTGTGTTTTGGTTTTTGTTTTCAGACGACAAATCAGTAGTGAGTGATATAACCTTTACCCTCAGTGACTTGGACACTCCACAGCAACAGAAAGTTGTACAAAAGACACCACAGTTAGTACAACCAAAGTCTCCTGCTGAAGTTAATCAAACAAGTACATCAGAAGTAGTTGATTCACCAAAATCTAAAGACAATAGTGTTGATATTTCACTTTTAACAAATTCTTTGTTAAATCTTGAACAATCTCTATGTGATCAAAGTGGTGTGTTGTCTGTGAGCACTATATCCAGCTTTATAAGCAAAATCTCAACGCAATCAAATGCTGCAGAACTAGTCAACACAATTATGGCACTGTCTCAACTTAAATCTAAAGCCAAAGACACAAAAACGGAGACGTTGGTAGCAATGCTTCAGAAAGAACAAGAAAAAAAGGCTGAACTCTCATCCAAGGAAGACACCCGACCAGAAAAAACTGATCGACAGTCCAAATTACCAGTTCGTCGAGGATCCACCAAAGATCTGTTGAGAAAAAGTCTTAAGAGTCAAGGAGAAAAAGAGACTCCTAGTCCACCCTCAACAAGAACAGGATCACTTCCTACTAGACCTGGAAGTGCCCCAACGTCAATACCATCTAGTTTCGAGAAGTCACAAAAACAAAATGGTGATAAACCTTCACAAAAGTTGTCTGATAGTTACGCAGATGACAATGAATGGAATAGAATTAATCAACCTGATAGAGACACATGTGATTATGTAAATCAATCCAAGGAGTTCATTTACACATCACCAATTAAAAATGAGGCTACCCATCAGTCTTCGGAATGGCGATCTCCTCGTCCTAGCATGGGAGGACGTCAATGTGTTCTTTCTGATACCCAAGCCAGAAGTCATTTTCAGACAAATATTGAAAAAAATGCTTTACCAATGAAGACAACAAATGAAAAGGTTGATGAACTTACTTCTGAAGGACTGGAACAAAAACGTACATCTAGAAGATCTTACGAAACTGGAAAAGTTGATCAAAACAATCGTTCATTGAGTCCTCCTGCTCGAGAAGCAGACAGTTATATCTCTGTTAGTGGTGATCAGTGGAAAAGTCACAGATCTTACGAATCTGAAGAAACTAATCCATCTGGAGATCCTTGGAAAGTGGTGAAAGAAGATGAAAGAACCTCTGTTCAAGATATGGAAAATGACAGAGCATCATTTCATCCACTGCCTGATCGACCATCAGACAGATTTCAAGAATATCAACAAAATCAAAATACCCATACCTCAAGTCGTAGCCATGCTGGTAACTTAGACTTCCACCCTGTTGACAGTACTAGGACCGTACATGCAGATCACCATATTCCTGATGGAAGTGACTACAGCTCACGCTCCAACTATTTCAGTCCTGATAAAGAACTGTCGCGAGATTTGGCCGTAGGAACCGATGATATTAGATTAAGTGACTCCCGGGGTTATAGTTTTCTCCATTCAAAAAACAAACCAAATGATGTAGGTATTGAAAGTAGAACTTATTCTCCTCCTGTACAAGAAAAACAAGATGGCAAGAAACAGCAGACACCAGTGCCTAGTTTTCACCATAATTTATTACCTAACCAGCAACCAGAGAAACCAACCTTGTTAACAGACAGATCTCTCCTGTCAACGCAGTTCGCCAAACAATACTTACCAAAAGAATCTCAACAAGCTGAAAGCGAATTTAAAGTTCCCTTCCCAGTTAAAAGTAAGGCCAATGAAACCGTGCCACAGGACAGTTTCTACAGTGATGAAACTAGCTTTTATGAACTTCAGGCGCAGAATTTATCTCGAATGAGTCATGTAATGTCTGAATCACATCCCAGCTTTATAAGTCAAGCACCATCTTATCAGAGTACTCCTTTTAAACGCGATGAATTGTTTGACAGTCTGCCCTTGATGACACCAAGTTATATGAAATCTGTATTATCAACGGGGCCTATTGACAGACGTTTAGCTGAAACACATTTAGATACGTCAGGTAGGTACATCAAAAACACTTTTCTAGAATTATTGTAACTAATTGGGCAAATTATCAGTTTTGGGGGCAAATTATCAGTTCAAGAATGAGTGGCAGGGGTAATAAAGCAACAGTATTATCATAAAATGTACAGTTGTCATCATACAAAGAATTTGATAAAACCGTTGAAAGCATTAAGAACTCCTGTCTTCATTAGCTCAGTCGGAGCAGAACAATAGGACGTTAAACCCCATTTCATTTCATTAAGAACTCAAAACGAACGGATGGGGGTTGGAAGGCGTGGTTTCGATTCCCCTGTTGTACGTGGCAAGGAATAGGGTCGCCTGTCAAACCTCGTGGGTTTTCTCCGGGTCCTCTGGTTTCCTTCCACTGCTACTGCTAAAGACCACTATGCACAAGCGAATTTTTGAAATAAAATTGAACCATATGTTAGTCCCGAAATGACCTAGTTTGTGTCAAGTGGACGTTAAACCCCATTTCTCTCTCTCTCTCTCAAAGTGTGTTCTCTTTTTACATAAGGTATGATATATTTTGTACATTGTTGGTTTTTTTTTTTTAGGTGTACTAATGGCCACTCCTAAACAGTTGACGCAACTAGAAGTGCCATCTGTTTTTACCTTCCCAGAATCTAGTTGTGTTGGTATTGCATTAAGTGCTAATTTACCTATCAGCAACCCAACATCAAGATGGCAGGAATGTTCATTACTTATAAAAGATCTGAGTATAAATAATCAACCTGTCGATCCTGATAAACATTCACCATTTGAATTAAAATCTAAAGTTATTATTGAACCTAATTCCACAGAACATATATCTGTAAGTACATCATTGACAATTTTAGATATCTACATTTTGAACACAATTCAGCACAGAACTGCTGACATTTGTTGGGATTGTTCATAGGTCATAAGAAAGAACCATGTTGATATTGAGATTTTTTTTGCATAGCCTTAAAGAGGAAGTTTTGGCGCAATACCATGTTCACTATGAGGAATGTTTGGGAAATGTAATTGTTTTTACTATAACTATTTTTTAATATTTGTGATGCATTCAAAGTATTGTATATTGTAGAAAGATTTCTTTAATTGCTTGCATACTTATAGCATCATAATGTGGGTTTACATATAGCATAATATGACAATCTGTGTAACAGGTTTTAAGTATCACGTAATTGTGTGAATGTGTAATGTAGCAGCTGGATGGCGAAAAAAACGCTAAAACCTGCATGGTGAGGTAGGTGGATGTAATCTCTGGAGCAACTGCTATCTCCAGGATCAATAAAGGATCCCCTAACAGGCTGTGTTGATAAGAAAGGATTTAATGATTACACGTTTCGGTCTTTGTCGACCTTCATCAGATACGTAATGATTATGTAGACTACTTGATAAAACCACCATCTATGTTTATTACAGGTAATGTTTCTACCCAGAATTCCTGGAGCTTTTGTAGCTCAACTACTGATCTATGCAAAACCATTTCTAAGGGATGTTGTTGTTCCTCCCAGTCGAATACCTGTTGAAGTCACTTTACAAGCCATTTCAGAAAAACCCAATGTACAGGTGAAATTATAATTATATTAGAAGTCTCAATGATCAGTCCCTTTTAACAAGGCTTGCAAAGATATATGATTGTTCATTGTTAATAATTTCACTACTCAATACTTATTAATGTATTTATTTATCGATCAATCCATTCACTGGATTTGATATGTGCAATTGTTGTTTGTGGTGTATGTATATTGTGTCCCAGTGATGGGATTTTACCCGTATATTCCGGACTTGTCTGAATCTTTTTTCGAAACGCCCAAAATTGTCCCACCGGGAATATGCCAAATCGGACATCAAGACATGGGGAATAATATTCAAATTCCAAAATTAATATAGTGTACTGAGTGTATAACTACCGTGCAACCCGATTATCGTTGATAATAGGCTGGATTGATTAGGTAATTAAGTGATCGACTATTTATTGTGTTATATCGTCTACACACCTACCTTGATTAACTACTTATTCTGCCTTGATTGGCTGACTTAATTATTTATCGGACAATTCATCAAATCAATCCTGAACAGAAGTCATTGCTTCTCCTTTGTCGGATGATATATCAATCCAAGAAGAGTGATTATAAACTTAATCTGATTAACCCGTGATTTCTCTATTGTCTCACGTTTTAATCTCCTTTGTGTCGGACAATAACACGTAGAATTTAGTCATATATGTCACATATCCTGATAGTATATAACACCTCAAATCAACATACATTGTATCCGATAACTTGTCTGTGATATATTTTCGGTGGAAGCCGAAGTTAAATAAAGATGTTTCACACACACGCATATGGCGCTTATAAGTTATATAGTTCAGTAATTAAAATAAAAGTACAAATCTCGCGAGACACATGAAATTAAGAGATGTATACGTACCGACGTATAACTCGAAAAATACGGTAATTTGGGGGGAGTTTGAAACAGATCGGCAGCAGTCGGCACGCTGCCATTCTATAGTATTACGATGTCATGTAATTTTGTAGGAATATTATTGACATAAATTTGAATACCGTACGGGTTTTAAACATGAAATATAACGAGGTGCACCTATTTTTTTTACATATGAATTTGAATATATTTTGTTGACACGTGATTCTTAATTGTGTTTTGAAAACACGATAAGAGTTATGCCCCTTTATTTTTGGGAAAAAATGTCCGACAAGAAATTTTTTTAAATCCTATCACTGTTGTGTCCTGTCAGCAGGTTTGTCATAAGGCCTGTTATTGAATCAACTGGCGTGGTTTCAAATCCCCGGTTGTACGTGACAAGGAGTAGGGTCGCCTGTCCAACCTCGTGGGTTTTCTCCTGATCCTCCGGTTTCCTCCCACTGCTAAAGACCCCTACTCGCAAGCGAATTATTGAAATAAAATTAAACCATATGTTAGTCCCGAAATGACCTAGTTTGTGTCAGTGGATGTTAAACCCCATTTCTCCCCTCCCCCCCCCCCCCCACATTGATTTGTAAATTATACTTGGGACTAGATACCAGATGGGTTGTTCAACAAGGATTACTGATTCTAGTGATTTTATTTTATAGGTTATAACAAAAGAAGATAGAATGGTATATTTTGGTCAGTTAGCATTTGGATCTTGTCGTATGTCATCTATTCAACTGCGCAATTTGAATAAAGGATCTGTACCAGTTCGATTATCTATAACTAATGTACGTTTAATATCTCTGTTCATTTTGTGCCATTTATTTGATTATTGATTCTTTTAACTATTTTCAGTTTTTGAGTGCTCCTTAAAGGCAACAAATTTTTTCTGCACTGTGGCTCTACCGAACTCATTATTATAGCTGTTTTTTTTTTTGCATTTTGGTACTGTCATGTACACTACATAAACTCTATGGACATGCAGCTTTTGTTAAATGAATAGCTTCAGACTTGTTACCTGAGACCACATGTGTCATATTAAAATTCTAGGTGCATGTATTCAGACAGTAATTGTATTTTGTTGATATATTACAGGTGAAATCATCATCTTGGCATTGTTTTAGTTTTGATAAAGACATAACATCACCAGAAATATCTATGTGTTCAACAGGAAGCAGACCCATCTCTCCGGTTTTTGGTAAAAATGCAATGAGTTTAAGTTTAGAGGGTTACGGTGACAGACGGTCATCTAGTATAGAAGAAATTAAAATCTATTGTAAACCACCACGTAAACAATCAGATAGAGGTAAATTATAACAACTTAATACACTGTAACCCAGGTATCATTTAATCTTGTATATCTAACACTAATTTCTTTCACATTCGTTTAATATCAAATCTTTGTTTAAACATTTGTAAAAATCGTTTAAAATCACCAAAAATCATCTAATTTGTACTTGTATCCAGTTTAAAGCTGACTGATTAATTTTGATGAGTGTCAAAGGGTTCTTTCACTTGAATGTATACGCAGAACCTAATTTATTTTGGTCCTGTTTCTGAATGATTAGACACTGCCTTGCCAGGCCCTACTTCCTGCACTACTGATAAGTGGAAATAAACAGGGAAAATCCAGAGGAAATTTCTCTGCCAACACTGGTTAGTGATGCATTGCCAATCACACTGAGCTACCGGGGCACCCAAATTTATGCGATATCTGATAATGCATTTGTATGGAGTTGGGACAAATTCCAATACTCATCACAAGAAACAAAATATTTTAAATCTGTCAATGAAGAAAGTAATAAATTCAAATTGTTTGATTAATTTGTGATATTTTGCCAGCAATTAAAAGACAAATTTGTGAAATTTTTATTAGTTATGCATAAAACTTTTGAGGTTTTGGTGTCTCTCGTAATTCATCTAGGTTCTTTTAAGATTAAAAACAAAAAATGAAGAAGAGAAACTGTATTTAATTTCAAATCTTGTTTTATTATTTCAGCACTGTCTCACTGTCCTCCAGAATTGTTTGAAGCTCAAGTAAATGTTGAGATTGACACAAATATTCCTAATATTCCACCAATCACAAGTGTTGTATTAAAAGCTGAAGTAGGCATGGTTAAACTCCATACACCAATAGATCTAGACGTAAGTATTGATTATAAATAACAATATCTACTGTCAGTCGAAAATGTTCTTTGTTCCAACACTTTTTTTAAGCCAGTAAATATTTTGAAATGGAAAATAAGTCTTTGTTTTTGTGTGTGTTTGGGGGGAGGGGACCAGGATGACCTAATTAATAAATGACCCAATTAAAATCAAGGGAATGTGTCTTGAAAGAAATATTATGAAAAGAAATCAGAGAAACAAACCTGGATTGCAAATGTGTAAATCCGATCTGTCAATTCTTGAATTCAATGAAACACTATAGACAATTATTTTTATTACAATCATCAATTAAAGGGTGGATTTGCATTTTCGCTAAAATATAAAATTCTTCACGGCTTAATCCACGCAAAATTTGTTCTCAGATTGATTTAATTAAGGAAACAAAATCAAAGCTAGATGGCTGTATCTTGTTGCATGCAAGTAGCATAGATCGATGCAATTACAATTTATCATAATTTTGTAAATATTGAATAGAATAGAACTGAATTGATATTTCTACTAAAGATTACACTTTCATAATATTGTAGCTCGCACAGGATTCCTATAGTGCTACATCACGCATCAAGCTTTTAGACAGTAAGAAAAAGCCCTCAATAAAAAAAAATTTATTATTATAATGTTTCTGATTATATTTTTTTTCCCTTTCAGAAAATTAAATTGTCTTCTGTATTTGGAAAGAAATGTGCTAAGAGTTTTAAATTAAAAAACGCAGGAAACATTGGTATGGAGGTCTCCTTGTTTGTGCCTCAATTTTCTGACATATTTCCAGTAACTCCACGATTTTTGAAAATACCTGCCTGTCAGGAACGAGAAGTTACAGTGAACTTTGAACCTAAAGATAAAAATATCTGTACCTATGATAGGTAAGTTATGTTTATTTCTTATGTTTGATAATTTAGCATACTCTATTGCTCTTACCAATGGTTTAATAAAAATATTAAAGTTGCAATTTCATATTTTTATACGCCCACAATATCCGATTGACTCTAAATTTATACAGAGTGTTTAAGGTCATGAGACAAAGAAGCCTATTGATCTTCAGCGATTTCCGATAATTACTGCCAGAGTTATGGCCCTTGATCACTTTGAAAAATCTTGTGGACGCTCTAGTGGCTAAAGTTAATATCCGATTGACTTTAAATTTATACACAGTGTTTAAGGTCATGAGACAAAGAAATCTATTCATTTTCAGCGATTTTCGATAATTACTGCCAGAGTTATGGCCCTTGATCACTTCAAAAAATCTTGTGGACGCTCTAAAGGCCAAAGTTAATATCCGATTGACTTTAAATTTATACACAGTGTTTAAGGTCATGAGACGAAGAAGCCTATTGATGTTCAGCGATTTCAGATAATTACTGCCAGAGTTATGGCCCTTGATCACTTTGAAAAATCTTGTGGACGTTCTAGGGGCTAAAGTCAATATCCGATTGACTTTAAATTTATACACAGTGTTTAAGGTCATGAGACGAAGAAGTCTATTTATTTTCAGTGATTTTCGATAATTACTGCCAGAGTTATGGCCCTTGATCACTTCAAAAAATCTTGTGAACGCTCTAGAGGCCAAAGTTAATATCCGATTGACTTTAAATTTATACACAGTGCTTAAGGTCATGAGATGAAGAAGCCTATTGATTTTCAGCGATTTACAATAATTACTGCCAGAGTGATGGCCCTTCATCACTTTGAAAAATATTGTGGACACTCTAGAGGCTAAAGTTAATATCCGATTGACTTTAAATTTATACACAGTGTTTAAGGTCATGAGATGAAGTCTATTCATTTTCAGTGATTTTCGATATTTACTGCCAGAGTTATGGCCCTTGATCACTTTGAAAAATCTTGTGGATGCTCTAGAGGCTAAAGTCAATGTCCGATTAACTTTAAATTTATACACAATGTTTAAGGTCATGAGACAAAGAAGTCTATTCACTTTCAGTGATTTTCGATAATTTTACTATCACAGTTATGGCCCTTGATCACTTTTAAAAATCTTGTTACGCTCTAGAGGTTAAAGTTATCATCCGATTGACTTCAGATTGATACACAGAGTTTAAGAGCTTGAGACGAACAAGTATATTGATTTTCAATGAATTTTTATGACTTGAACAGCTAAATCCATGATATTAAAAGTTTTGTATACTAAACGTTAGCATGGGGCAGAACTTTATAAAAAACAAACAAATTCTAATGGTTTTCTGATAATTACTTCATGAGTTGTTTCCTTGGACAATTTGACATCGATTAACAGACTTGTTTGATATGTCTCTATTCCAAGATGTTTTATTATGAAGTCCTAGGCAGTTCCTGGTCTATAGTATGGTGATATTTTTTTGTTCACAATCTCTGTTATTTCCTAGATTTGTTACAGTCCATATTTGTTTGTTGTCAAAATGTGAATGAAAACATTTACAAGTAATTTGATGTGTGAGAAATTTAAATTTTGAGTAGAAATTATTTGTTCAGATACATAAATAAACCTAAGACTAAGTTTCAACATAGTAATTAAAAATTGCATACATATATCGATATATACATTTATCAGTTTCTTTTCTAATGCACACAGACTTTGGGAGTCAAAAAGTTCTAAGTCAGTGTCTTAAAGGTGTTTTAGCTCATCGTAAAAATTAATCAAATTTGTATCTCACACTAGGCCTAACACATGATAGCCTTCAACCTAATTGTTAGACTAGATTAGCCAAAAAAAATTCAACAGGACAATATTGATCCTATTTTTAATTACATATTTTTCAACTAGATTAACCTAATCTGTCAACAAAACAATATTGATCCTAATATTAGTTCCGTATTATCAGACTAGATTGATCTTTTGCATATTTCACCTTGCATCAGCAACAAGAGATTGAATTTAAGTAAGACCTGCATTATCAAAAAAGAAGTTGATGGACCCTGTTCCAGACTTTTCTGACAAAAGTCTCTAGCATTGTTGTTAGATTAAATCTGGTGTGTATTTTAATACAGTTTTACTTGTAGTTTATTACTGATGGGATTAGAGCCTGATGGACCAACATATGAAATACCTATACAAGGTGAACTAATACAAGAGGTAGCTCCACCTGCTGGACCATTATTACTTAGTGATAAACATACCCTACCATTTGGTGGGGTGGCTCTGGGAAGAGCAAAGTGAGTACTTTAGTTATGGTTCCTGATTAATGGCTTTATTATTCGATACTTTTCACATCACCATTTGTTTTAAATTTTTACCTCAATAGCGGGTTGAAAGATTTGGTACATTTATTTGTTTATATTGTCAAAATATTAGTCTCTATCATCCAGACAAATATTTTCAACATTTGAGAATAATAGGTCATTGGCTTGATTATCCGGTCTTTTACGTTATCATGAACAAAGTTTAAAGGAATTAACTAGTCCTAAAACAAGATGTCGATGCCCATGAAATTAATTGAAGAATTGACATTTCAAAAAATCCATTTGCATTGCCAGTTCAATATCGAACACTCTTAATTTTTTTATTGTAAAATTTTTCTCTTCGTGAGCCATATCTATGTTTTTTTATATTAATCCTAATTCATTGTCATGATTCATGTTTGTTTATAATAATGCATGAATGATGGGATTTATTTCGGGAAGGGGCGCAACTCTTACTTGACTTGGCCAAATATATTGGATAAATAACCACATGGGCAATGGAACTTTTCGTCAAATATAGACAACCGTCCCAGGCCCTACGAACGTTGAAGACTAGGAGGTTCTGGGTGCCTGAGACTATCTAAATATTTTTTAAAACTATTTTGGTTGGGTTTCTTTTATTTTAAATTGTATATCTGTTTACATTCTAGACAACTAAGAGTTACATTAAAGAGTAATGCTCACCAGGCTTTAAAATTACGTGTTGAAATCAGGTCCTCTTCTAATGCTTTCCAGGTATAACTTTAAAATTTTATAACTTTATTATTTCTTAAAGAAATGATGACAATAACGTGGGTTTGAATTCCTGTAAGTGCCAGGAAGAGATTTTTTTTCTTTTATGCCAGATTCCAACAACCAGTCTGACATGCAAAATGTGTCTGGTCATTTTGAAGGCATGCAATATTAAATCCTGTTATACAAATTCATAGTGGAAAGATCCCTGGCAGATGAAATTTGAGGTAGAAAAAGACATTTGTCAAAATTCCTGCCATAGAAATGCCATATGTTAATTTCAAGAGAGCGTAAATAATTTCTGACATCCAAGTATACTATTGAAGCATCAATTCCTGATTATTTTACGAACTATATAATCAACTTGTTAGTTTGATATACATTTTCCAGTTTCAGCTGACTTCAAATCAGACTAGTAGTGGAAGTCTACATAGAGATGTTATTATCCAGCCACAGGAGAAATTTCCAGTCTATGTTGTATATTCACCAACTAGAGTAGAAACCAGTAATGGCAAGCTAGTTATTAAACCATATGACTGCAATGCTAAATTCTCGGTAATAATAAATTTATTTATTTGTGTCGAAATAATTCAGACATTATTAATATTTTTATAATTCGTATGAATAAATATATGAATTTTAACATGGTCTTTCAAATGTATTTTATTCTAAACATGCAGGTTTTCTACTTACTAAATATCACATATTTTTTAATTGGTGTTCTTTGTTTTATATTAGATTAGCCGGTTTTATTGATAAATTGACAAATGAAATATTTCTTTTATTTCATTGTGCAGATGTCAATTATCATCAGTTGAAGGAGCTATACTAGTTACATTATACACTTAAAAACACCACACATTTTATGTGGAATACAATCACTGATTGGAAGTTATATAACATTTTGTGCATGATAGCAATAAAAGAAGACTTGACGTAACATTGTGCTATATGTATACAAACCGATGATTGTTTTCTATAGGGGATCACGTGGCTAAGTGGGTAAGACGCTAGCTCGCTAGCCTGGAGGTCGGGTGTTCGATCCCTGCATTGGCCGAGAAAGTTCATGCAGATTTTCCGGCGTGGTTCTCCCTTGTCAGTGATGCAGGACGGAGGGGCTGACAAGGAAAGCTGTCTAGTCGTTCGGATTGGACGAAAAACCGAGGTCCCGTGTACACATTGGCGTGCACGTAAAAGATCCCTTGGCAGTTGGAATTCGATATAAGAGTAGGCCGTAGTGCCGCTGTCCGGGCAAAATTTCCCTCATAGCACACTGTATGGCGTATGCCCGTCTTCATTAGCCCAGGTTAGGAGCAGAACAGTAGGACGTTAAACTCCATTTCATTTCATTTCATTTTGTTTTCTATATAAATTGTGGCGTGTTTTATTGTGCTCAATTGCTAAATGTCACTCATGGATTATAATCTACGCTTCCCAATTGGAAACATCCTATACTGATTGTTTATCTTTATTTTAAACAGATATCATTGTCTGGTTATGGTGGAGTTAGTTCTGTTACATTAAAAGATGTACACCACACTGGAACATCCCGATTTTGGTTAGATGTAGGGGAAGTTACTCTAGGTAGTAGTGATATGCATAATGTATCAGTTACTAACACTGGACATAGAGCAGCATTTGTTAAAGCCATTTCATTCACAGGTAATTTTCATTTCATTAAACTAAAAGATATTCAATGTGTTTTCTATCACTTCCAAATTTATGGAAACTATATGGTTAAGAATTTAGTGAAAATATGGCACCAAAACGGAAATGAAGTTGATTTTTTTATTAGGTATTTTGTCTTGCTGTCTAGAAGTCAACATATTACATTATTTGTATCCTGCAGATTCCCTGATAAAGTGATTGAATGCTTTTAAGAAGTGACACCTATTAATCGTCATTTCACAGATGGTGCTTGTTATGAGAAGGATCTTTCTCAATAGGACAATAGTCTCTCAATTTAGTTTAAAAACTCTAGAAAAGTTTTATAGGTAAACCTGTAAGAATATATTTGAATAGTTTAAATGAATTATGTTTCTTTTGTAGAATTTGCTGTTATTTGTGTCACTCTACCATGATTATACATTTTTTTATCTGTAGATTTACAGTTAAAACAGACACTGCCACCCGGTAGAATAGCCATTGATCCTAATGAATTTATTCTATCACCTAAAGAAACAAAGGTGAGTCTCGACCAAACTGTACATTTTTATTGAGAATCTTTTTATATTCAAGCATGAGTCAACTGGCGGGGTTTCGATTCCCCGGTTGTACGTGACAAGGAGTAGGGTTGCCTGTCCAACCTCGTGGGTTTTCTCCGGGTCCTTCGGTTTCCTCCCACTGCTAAAGACCCCTACGTGCAAGTGAATTATTGAAATAAAATTGAACCATGTGTTAGTCCCGAAATGACCTAGTTTGTGTTGAGTGGACATTAAACCCCATTTCTCTCTCTTTATATTCAAACAGCTTCAGACAAATTACTGAAATCACCAATATACAGGATGGGCCGTGTTTCAATAAGTACAATGATCTATTGTGCATTGAAAGTGCTGGAAAAAGTTACAGGGGGGGGGTAGCCCAGGGGATAAAGTATGTGTTATACTTGGGCATTGACAGAAATGTTTTTCCCATGTTTGAAAAGTAGAAAGTGTTATTTACTGGTTGATATATTTTTATTCCAGAGTGTTCATATAGCTTTTTGTCCGTCTGATCGAGAAGTAGCAGCTTGTTATAGGGAGAAAGAGGTGGTTGCTACAGTTGCATTTTATCATGGTGATGAGGTTAGCCGACAAAAATACAGAAGGTTTGTTTTAAAACTTGGAAGTTCTATTATATCATAAAGGATGTATTATTAATTATAGAAAAACAACAACAAAAAATTCTAAAAAAGACCTAATATCTGGGTAAAACATATTCTGAGAAATGAAATGGGCTTTAACATCCTACTGTTCTTCAAAAACCTGGCTAATGAAGATGGTCATACACCATCCAGTGTTCGATAGAGGAAATTTTGCCCAGACAGCAGTGTTACCACCTACTCCTCTTCGAATTGCAACTGCTCAGGGTTCTTTTATGCCATTGTGTACACAGGAAAATCCAGAGAAAGAAACAATATCTGATACAAGAAAAATTATTTGTCATATAGATCCAGATTGAAGCTCCAAAATTATGCATTTCTATATGTGTGTTCTGTATCTGACTCATACATCAGCCATTGTAGCTCTATGACACGATTTTGTTTCCTGAGAACAGACATATTAATTGGATATTTTTCTTGGCAATTCCATTGAACTTTATGCAGAGAATCCCATTGTATCTTTAAAAAATGTTAGACTAATGATAAATATTGTATTTTACATAAAAACCTTAGAGCCATCAATAAACCAGTGAAGCCAGGTAAAAAATCTCACAAAGTACATATTGATCAGCCTTTACAGAAAGTGAATTTTGATGTCAGTTACTATGGTGATTTGGGTGAAAAAATTGTTAGTGAAGGTAATTATTATGTAGGTTTTCTCATCTAGAAATTCAGATAAATAACTTGTGTTTGAATGAATAATTGAATTCTTAACACAATAAATAGCTTGCCAATTTAACCATCCCTTCCCCCCACCCCCCTCTATAAATAGCTTGCCAATTTAACCATCCCTTCCCTCCCTCGTCCCCTCTTCAATGCCAATATGGTTGTTTGGAGTGTTTTTATCAAATGCTTTGTATTGATTGTTGCAACAAAACTGAAGTGTTTTATCTTATAAAAAATGTCAAGTTTGTTGACTGGTTAATCAATAGATGATTAATCAGATTGTCCTTTACTATGAATTAGTAACGGAAACAAAAAAGCTGTGAAGGACCAAGTAGTTCTGTAAAAAAAAACAACCCAAAAACACCACAATTTATATGGAAAGCAAACACTCGTTTATACACTACACAAGCTTGATAATGATAAGAGAAGACATGTCGAAACATCTTGCTATATGTATACAAACCAGTGATTGTTTTCTATATAAATTGTGGTGTATTTTTTTATTGTGCTTACTGGTAAATGGTGAAGATTTAAACAGATTAAAACATGTTCTCATAATAAACAGTTTATGCCACATCTTGTCAAAACTTTCAACGGTGATAATTTCATTCAGAATAAAATAATTTGAATGAAATTTTTATACGCCCACATTTTCATGTGGACGTATATTGTCGTCGCCCCTGTCCGTCCACAATTGTTTGTGGACCCTCTACAGGTCACAATTCTTATCCGATTTTGACGAAACTTGAAATATAGGTTTATCTCCGACAGATCTCGGCTGCTTTCGATATTGGCATGTATCGGATCGAAACTTCATGGATTATGGCCCTTGTTTGTACGAAAAATCACGTTTTTAGCTTGTGGACCCTATAGAGGTCACAATTTTTATCCGATTTTGTTGAAACTTGAAATATAAGTTTATAACCCAAAGATCTCGGTTCCTTTCGATATTCGCGCATATCGGACCGTAACTTCCTGAATTATGGCCCCTGATTGTACGAAAAATCGCGTTTTTAGCTTGTGGACACTATAGAGGTCATAATTTTTATCCAAGTTAAAAAAATGTATTATTATACCACCGTTACACCCTAAGAACAACCGAGTTTGAATTTCGTGAAAATCGGTCCAAAATTGACAGACAAAATGGCCGCCGTTCGTTCTCAAATAGCGTAAAAATACGGTAAATCTAGGTTGTGGACCCTATAGAGATCACAATTTTTATCCAATTGTGTTGAAACTTGAAATGTAAGTGTATAACTCAAAGATCTCGGTTCCTTTCGATATTCACGCATATCGGACCGTAACTTCCTGAATTATGGCCCCTGATTGTACGATCAAGGTTGTGGATCCTATGGAGGTCACAATTTTTATCCAATTTTGTTGAAACTTGAAATGTAATTTTATAACACAAAGATATCGGTTCCTTTCAATATTTGCGCATATCGAATTGTAATTTCCTGAATTATGGCCCTTGATTGTAGGAAAAATCACTTTCTTTTTAGCTTGTTCTCTATCCATCTCTCGAAAATGTGGGCGTATCCTGCCTGGCAGCCGCTGGTTAATATATATATTTTGCATTATCTATTTTTGAACTAATATAGCAAGAACGACCAGTTTTTATATACATTTTACATAATTTTTCTTAATTTCCTTAAGGAGGTACGGTTTATCTTATTGGGTGAATTGACACAGAATGACCCCTAAGAATAAGTTCTTTAGATTTAATGTCGTGGAATCTTAATAACAGTCTATAAAGAATATTAAAGAATTTAGCTATTATGCTGTTTAGTGAGATACAGTGCAAGGCTAATGATGAAATTGTGGAACTATTCAACTACAAACATAAGATGTAAAGTTTGTTTCTTTATTATTTTTCAGGATATGGTGTAAATGATTCTGATAGTGATATAGATTTGTTTTATTCGAATCTAGCTCATATATCACTAGCATTGATAGGTCATCCTGTAGTTAAACTAGAGACTTGTACACCACAAGTTTACCCTAAAACTAGACGATCACATGGAGAAGTAGTTAAATCAGATTATCCTACAAACAATAGGTAATTATATGTGAAAATATTACAAATAACCTTTGAATTTTAACAATAATTACATATTTGTCTGTGATTTGATGTCTAGTTCGTCCTTTGGGCTGATCGGATCTACTCAGTGGGAATCTGGATTTGGCAATTATCCATTTTCACACATATCTGAAAGATTTGGGAGCAATACTATAAAACTTTAGTTTGTGTTTATGCATGCATATTCAAAATGGTGAAATAAGTCACATAACTGACTGTATTTATGATAGAAATACAAGTACAACTAAGAATACAATATAACTGACTGTATTTATGATAGAAATACAAGTACAACTAAGAATCCCACATAACTGACTGTATTTATGATAGAAATACAAGTACAACTAAGAATCCCAACTGACTACTCATTTGATAGGATTGAATAATAAAGAGAAAAGTAAAAATTTTGTTAGGTTGCTAAGATATCAAGCAATCATCAATAAAGTTTTTTTATCTTGGTATATTTTATATTAAATAGAAGCAGTCTTCAATCCGATAAACGTCAACATCCTGGAGAGAAAGATTGTGATTGGTCCGTTCTACCACAGCAATTAATATGTAATGTAAACAGAGATGGTAAGTTTAAAGATACTTTCCCACAAAAGTATTCATTGGGTGGTTATTTCCAATAAAAGTATGGCAATTTTGGTATATGTGGAAAGTAGGAACATCCAGTCTTACTAGAAAAATACTGGATTCTCTGAAAAACATCCATGGAGCGCATACAGGTAAAAAATGTAAGGGTTTCCTTAACCGGCAACTTGACGATTAGGGATGTCTGCTTGAGTGGCGTCCAAGTTTGTCTGATTTCTCCGCCTTAGTGAGCACTTGATTTACATGTTGATAAACTAGATGGTGAGCTTAGGCGTACAACAATTTCTGAGATTAAACCAACGGAAAAAGATGTGGGCAGTGGATAATCTGACAATTTAATTAGGCTTCAATATTTATAATAAAAGACCAGCGTTTAAAGACAACATCGTCTTGTATATGCAATGAATTCTCCTCCGGCTTCACACCCTTGCTAGGTACCGTGTCAGCCAAGTTACGTGACACAAACAAAGGGTATTCATTTGCGAATACAATGTTTTAAGAAGGATTTAAATTTAAAGCAAAATTTTCATAGATTAAAAATATATCATCAAATCACCCAGTTTGTACGCTTACTGCCTTTATAGATTTAGAGGAAAGATGTACTCAAGCATCCTGACATGATATTTTACCTACTGATTAATAATTAGAACAGCCTATGACATAAATAACCTATAGCATGGCCCTCACTTCAACACTTTGCTAACCTGTCAATTTTTAATGTATTTTATTTACCTCAGACAGGCTCAAATTAGCAAAATATGTTTTTCAGAGAATATGACAAAATATGTTTTTCAGAGTATGACAAAATATGTTTTTCAGAGAGTATGACAAAATATGTTTTTCAGAGAGTATGACAAATTATGTTTTTCAGAGAGTATGACAAATTATGTTTTCAGAGAGTATGACAATTTTTTAGCATTATCCCACTTGATTATATATACATTTAAGGGTTTTAACAGTATTCATTGTTAAATTTTAAAAAAATTCTATTTCCTTGGCACTTAAATTGAATGACAACTGGTCCATTTCACTGACTGAAACCAGAGCCCTTGTGTACATTATCATCTATATATAGTATATCTTGTTAATTTGTAACAATTTACTTATTCTATCATATTCCCTTTGTTCTACTATAGGACCAACACATAATTTCTACTGTCCCTGATTCATCTGTCTATATTATTATTATTATATATGAAAATTTGTTTTATTTTAGGAAAGCAAACACAATCTGTATGTTTTCAGATTATTAACTTCTCTACTAGAGATATCAAGTAAGTAGTTTAATTTGATTTTATTGAGACATTTTTTATTTTCTTGTCCTTTTATTGATTATAACTATTGTACAATAAAGTATCACAATACAAATGTATTACAATAGTATTACAATACAACAGTATTATAAAGTATAACAATACAACAGTGTTATAAAGTATAACAATACAATATATAGGTGTAGTATTACAATACAAAAGTATTATAAAGTATAACAATACAACAGTGTTATAAAGTATAACAATACAATATATAGGTGTAGTATTACAATACAACAGTATTATAAAGTATAACAATACAACAGTATTATAAAGTATAACAATACAAGTGTTATAAAGTATAACAGTATTACAATAACAATACAATAGGTGTAGTATTACAATATAACAGTACTATAAAGTATTACAATACAACAGTATAATATGATGTAACAGTATTACAGTACAACAGTATTATAAAAGTATACAGAGTATTACAACAGTACTACAGAGTATGGTTCTTTTATACTTTATATTTTTTGTTTTCAAGGTATGAAATGTCATGGCCAGGTCATTGGTTTACAGTTTCCCCAGAACATGGAATTGTTAAAGCCAAGTATGGAATATCTTTTGATTTGTAGCAATAAAAAGATAAATTAAAATGTTTTATTTCTGTTATGAGATCGAAAAGTACCTACATGTATAGTGACCATAATTATATAACCCAGCCCCATATATCATTCTTATGATTGATTTATCAGAAGCACAACAAACTTTTCTGTCAATTCTTTAATTTGTGTTCGACCTCTGTTCATTTATTGCTTTATTTTCCTTTTCTAGATCCAACATAATGGTAACCATCTCTCCTCACACCAATCTGAATTTATCTAAATTACCATGGAGTGGAGCTGTAGTTGTTTGTTGTAATGAACAATTTGAAGTAAGTAAATTCTACAATGATAGATATGTCCAGGTTAAGATTTAAGACTAAGTTAAATCATAAATTTCTCAATGTAATGTAGCAATTATCAAATAGTTAAAGATACATTATGGGAGATTAGATAAAGAGCTGGCAGTTCTCACTATAATACTAAATAATAGTTAAAAACTAGATAATGTAAAGGGAATTTGCTGAAAATTTCAGTAAAATTGATCAACACTGAACCGAGATTTTATTGATTGAATTTTCGGCCTAGTTGCGATCATCATTACTAAAGTCGGTATGATAAAAAACATAGTCTCGATTATCCATTTCATAAATATATCATGAATAGAAGTCAAACAGCAAATCGGAATCTAATCCAATAAATAATAATTTAGATAACATTTCAGGCGTAAAGAAAAACCTGCAATAGGCAGATTTAGCTCTTGCATAATGTATGTTTAATGATCCATACCATCAGAAATAAATTCATGCAATTCATGCCATTCAATATTACAAGAGATATGATCATTATTCAGTTTCCCAAACACTTAGTTATTATGACTCGGCTGATTTCATGGACGATAATCACGACAATACAATACTCTCAGTATATCTATGTAGCTCAATGAAAAATTAAACCAAATGCTATTTTTTTTAAATAATTATTATTCAATCGATTGAGACAACCAAATACATGTTTTGTATGGGATGAAAGTCTGTAGAACCCTATGTAAGCAGTTATTAAATTAAAATGTTCAGAAAATAGAATTTATTTGCAAACTTTAAAATAGCTAAAAAAAATGCACAATTTTTATGGAAAATCACTAGTTTATAGAAATGTAGCACAACGTTTCGACAAGTATTCTCTTATTGTTTTCAATCACACATTTTTTAATGTGCTCAATTGCTAACTGCCATTCAAGGATTTTAAAATAGCTGTATTCATAAAAAATTCAAATTAGCTGATGCCATCCACATAATCTGGAAAGAATCAATAATAGATTTAATTAATCATCACCAATGATAAAAGATTCTAAAATAAAAAATTTCACAATTATTTTGACTATTAATTATTATTTAGTTTGGTCATGTTATATAGCTGTATGCTCATCAAACTATCAAGGAAATGTTTTTAAGTTCAGGAAGAACATTTCCAAAGCTCAGCGACAAATTGAAAAAGAATGTTCACTAAACTATCTTTAAATTATAGGAGGTGAAAGTTCAATTAAGAAGTGAGTTGACCTATGAACCTGATATACCAACTACTGATAGTACTGAATCTTGCGTGGTTCCTGTGTCGAAAGATATTGATAAATATCTTCAGGTTCCTAATACTCATTTTGTTTTCTCTAAAACATTTGTTGGTGATCATAGTGGTAAGTGGTGGGTTTTTTTTATTAGTACTGTTCAAATCGTTTTGTCAATGAGGGGTGCCATTGAGTCATGTGTCATGGTCTATAGTTTGTACATGGCTAGGAGCAAACTGATCAGCATGTAATATTTGCTTGACCACTTTTATCACTGAGAGCAATGACTCGGGGTTAGTTAATTAGCTCTTAACACTGTAACGTGGATATCGTTGACTAAGCAACAAATAACTGTTATAAATGAAAATATACAATACTAATAGATCAAAGTCGTCATTTTATGGGTATTAGTTAGTTAAAATTGTTAGTAGTAATCAGGCAGTAGTCATTAAGTAAGTGTTCTGTCCCTAAGGTGTTAAAACTGTTATATTAAATGATATGCACCTCTATTGTCCAGGTTTGTGTATTCAATAGTGTTAGGTGTTAAAAATAGTCATGCTTTTACACTAGTAGTGACATCCTTTACAGCTACTTACACACCTGCTGATTAACACAACTGTAATACTGACCACTTATGATTTAATGACAGAAATTGTGATTTCTAAAAGGCCTAGCTCTGTTAGTCAACGGTATCAGCTTACCAGTGTAATATTGATGTTTTCTTCTTCTGCATTTTATATTCTAAATCATTTTTATACGCCCACATTGAAATGTGGTCGTATATTGTTGTCGCCCCCGTCCGTCGGCGGTCCGGCATCCACAAGCTCTAGAGGCTAAAGTTAATATCCGATTGACTTTTAATTTATACACAGTGTTTAAGGTCATGAGATGAAGTCTATTCATTTTCAGTGATTTTCAATATTTACTGCCAGAGTTATGGCCCTTGATCACATTGAAAAATCTTGTGGACGCTCTAGAGGCTAAAGACAATATCCGATTGACTTTAAATTTATACACAGTGTTTAAGGTCATGAGACAAAGAAGTATATTCATTTTCAGTGATTTTCGATAATTACTGTCACAGTTATGGCCCTTGATCACTTTGAAAAATCTTGTGACGCTCTAGAGGCTAAAGTTATCATCCGATTGACTTCAGATTGATACACAGAGTTTAAGAGCTTGAGACGAACAAGTATATTGATTTTCAATGAATTTTTATGACTTGAACAGCTAAATCCATGATATTAAAAGTTTTGTATACTAAACGTTAGCATGGGGCAGAACTTTATAAAAACCAAACAAATTCTAATGGTTTTCTGATAATTACTTCATGAGTTGTTACTCTTAATCAGATTTTTGTGTATTATAAATGTTTCATTACCGAAAGAAGTAAAAATATGCGACAACACTTGTTGACTGCCCGGACGATTTAGTTGCTGTGGGAGTATGTTTTGTTGCCTGGCAACTTATCTTTTGTTTTTTTTTAATTATTAAGAAAAAAAATAATGGTGTGAATCAATTATATTTTTATTATGTAGGTAAAATGTTAGAGTTTACCAACACTTCAAATGATACAATGACATGGTCTATTAACTCATTTGCTCCAGCTTATGCAAAGGTACTGTTTATTTTCATTGTGACTTATTTATTGAACTTGTTGAGATCTGTTGTAAAACCTTCAATGGAATTTTTTCATTGAAAAGTGACCTTAATTTTTTTCTAATTATGGCAATATCTTCAAAGTTTCAGCCTTTTTGTACCTGAGTACCATCCATATTTTTCAGACCATTATTTTATGATTCACTCTGCTTAACTTTCTCAATACAAGGCTTCCATTATGTCAACTTAAAAGTTTGAGGTGTTGATATCTTTAAAGATACATTATGTAAGAACTAAATCAGCCTATTGCAGTCTTTTTTCTGGCTTCAAATGTTATATAGATTATTATTTAGACATTTAATTACATGACATGCCCATAATCAACTCCTCTAGGCCATCAGACGGTTGAGAAAGTAAATGGATTAGAACACTCAAGTCATTTAGTAATTTAATGCTAAAATGGATAAGTGATACTTTTTTAAATATCATAGCAATGGTACTTGGCTAAATCTTGTCAAAACCTCAAATGTTCATAACTTTGCTCAGAAATTTTTAATATATTCATTTTGTATAATCTATTTTTAAACTATTATAGCAAGAACAGCTACCTCTTTGTAATGTATAATGTATTATAATAACCAGTATTTTACTATTTAACAGGGTATTGATAGCACCAGTGATGTTTATAGAGTTACTTATTCTGTTTTTGTTTTTAAAGAAAAGACTGGTCGATTATTACCTCATCAAACTGCTCAGGTTAGTCCATACTAAATCTATACTGTTGTACTAACGCACTTTGTTTCTACTTGGAGTAGTACCTGTAACTTTGTTGAAGTTCTTCATGCAGTCTACACTAGCCAATACAATAATTTCAGCAAATGACTAAAATGATTTCTGCACAAGGAACCTTGAAGAGAGGATATTATTTAATCATAAAACTGTGCAACCTATCATATTATGCCACCAACCCCTCTTCGTAAGCTACGAAGAAACGGTGAGCCTTGTAACTGACCTAAATGTTGAAGACTTTGAATGTGTAGCATAGAAGGGTTAAAACTTATGACGAAATTGTTTAAGGGACCGTTTGCTTTAGACAAGTGAACATATTGTACCAATACTTCGTGTAATGTAGTAATTTTCACAGTTGTGAATGTGTAGATAACTAACAATAATAATAATAATAGTATTAGTGGAATATTTGATGAAGTATTATTATTTATTTGTAGGTACCATTGATGTTTGTACCTAGATCAGAAGGAAAGTTTACACAGTATTGGGATTTACAATGTTATATTCATCCTTCTGTTCATCATAATTCTATGACTGTTAGAATTAGTTTAGTTGGTGAGGTAATTCAAATTAATGTATTTATAAAAGAAGATTATCTCTGTTAAACTAGCTGTTAAAAGGGCAGTATATGTATTTTTTAGCCCTGAACAGTAAAGAAATATCTTATACAAATGCAGAGTTCAGGTAATGTGACAAAGAAAGTCTGAGAATTTTCGAATAAAGTATCCAACAAGACAACTGTTTACACTGTTGTGGAATTGGGTGTCTAAGATAGTTTTAGACAGTGGATTGATGAGGATTTTAATGATGATTTTGTTATGATAATATTAAAGATGCCTTTCTGGGTACAAACTGTGTGAATTGGTGATATATTTGGTCTTAAAACATATTAAACAAATTTATTCATCAAAAGGTTGCTTCAAATCCATCTCAAAGTATTTTAATTGGAAGGAAAGTACCACACTCTATTTTAAGCCACCTTGTTTGCTTGTCATGTTACTTGACTGGTGGAGAATCCACTGGACATTTAGCTATTGCAATGTTCTCACAACTGCTAGCCATTAAATAAACACATACATACATGTAGTGCTCCTTAAGTAAACTAAGTAGACAGGCTGCCAGTCAGTGACAGCCTCACATTTTTGTCCCTTCGGTACCCCATAGTTTTTTTTGGCGAAATCCAGTATTTTTCTAGTAAGATTTGGTGTCTCTTCTTTCCATATACTGGTATACCAACTTTGCCATACTTTTATTGGAAATAACTACCCTATGAATACTTACGTGGGAATGCATCTTTAACATTGGTTTTCATTAAAACTATTTTATACTATTTGTAGGCAAATAGGAAGAAAGAAGAAAAGTCAAGAGACAGAGATTCATCTGTTTCAACAGCATCAGACAAGAAGTCAGTGTATTTTAATTTAGTATTTAAATAGCATAATTTTTAAATACATTATGGGGGTGTGGGATTACAAGATTTAAGCCACCTTTCATCACCAGAATGCAATTATAAATTGATTTTAAAACATATAAATGTTTGTAAAAATTTGTTATGCAGAACTATAAATTAATTTGTTTAATAATTTCAGTAAGGATATTATTGATAGACCAGTTAGTTTGAAGGATACTGTAGTTACTTTTGATAGCATTGAGGGAGTGAAAGGAACAGCAACAAAAATATCTTTTGAAAATGCATCAGATAATATATGTGGCGTAAGTAAATACTTTACACTAAGTGGATATAAATCTATAAGTACCTGATTTTTGAAGAAAAAATTGTCTAACATGTGCACTTTAGATCATAACTTGTGTGTTGTGGTTTCAATCCCAGGCTTGTACATGACAAAGACTCTTGCCACAGAAGCAAATACCATATGTAAGTCTAGAAAAGATCAAGGTGGTGTTGAATCATTGAATGTCATTATATTATTAGTTATCGAAGCCTACCTTCTTTCAGGTGAACGTAGGCTTTCTGTGCTATCCAAATATCTAGATACACGAAACATGTTAAATTACAATTGAGAACAGCTGACCCAATGGGAATTACATTTTTAGTTGTTCAATTACAGTTCTTTAAAATAATGATGTCCCTTTGGCATTTGTTGCTAAAATATAAATTTTAGACACCTAAATGCACGCTAATATGTACTCAGATTAATTATTTAACATTTAATTAAGAAATTAAAATACGAATGCTAGATAATCTTCAGACTTGGATTCATATTGAGCAGCATTGATCGATAAAATTTCAATTCCACATATCTTTGTAAATAATAACGGAACTGAACCATTATTGGACAGATATTCCTTTTAGGGATTCATCTTTCACAATATTGTAGTTTGCAGGCGATTCCTATTCCTAAAAATGGCACATCAGTACTTTTAAAGTGATGGCAGTTTAATTATTTAGGTACACATGTATTAACAGAAATCTTGTATTTTTATTTTAGGTAAAAGTAGTACCACCTCAACCTCCATTTTTTATAAAACATCATCATTTTAATATTGGGTAAATAAATTTTAAATTTAAATATTTTAATAATTTTTATGAAAGGACTATATATTCTATCAATTGGCTGAATTTAAAGTATATATATATTTTTTTTAAATTGAAATTCTAAACAAGATCATTGACATATATATCAAAAGTCAATTATATTTACTATATTGATGTTACAATTGTTGTAAGCACATCTGTGTAGTTTAAAAAAAAAAAAAAGCAGGTAGAAAAAGAGAGCAAAATTATTATTACAATATATTTGTCTTAGACAAATAAAGATGTCAGTGTGAAATCAATAGAAACCATTAGAATTGATTGATTGATTGATTGATTTGAAGAACTATAGTTCTATTAAAAGTGTTTGGACTTTCATTATTTTTTTCCATTTTTCAGTAAAAGACGATTTTTGAAATATCCCATAGAATTTAAACCTGATAGAGTGGGAACATATGAAGGAATTATTGTATTTAAAACTGATTTAGGATATAGTCTGAGTGTTCAACTATATGGCAACTGCAAGCCAGAATCAAGTTAATGTTGAGTTGAAAGGATTCAGTGTTAGATAAAAGTGTAAATTGCACGAAAATCCATTTTCCTAATCCCTCTTACTAATATTAACAGTTGACTACATTTGTAGGATGTTCCTGAATGATCAAATTAAGACAAGAAGTCTAAAAGGATTGCTTGCATTTAGATATCTTAATATGTGCCTAGAGCATGCATTTGTGAATGGATTGGCGCTTTACAAATATACATTATTATTATTAATATAATTTAAGTGTAAGGTTTGTATCTAAATCAGATTATCTGACAAAAAGTCCTACTTTTCGATTAATATTTCCAAATTAACATTGTGATATTTTTTATATATTGCAATCCTATTCATTGAATATGAGCCTAGACTTGTTTGTTCAGTATTTAATCCTAAACTTACAGATCAATAATGTTTTATAAAATTTGTCTTGATCCTTGTCTTACCTTTGTGATTTAATACATACATAAAAAAAACTATGGCTGTGATAACAAAACAAAGCTTTATTTATAAAGAATAAATTTATAGTGTTTATAGATTGTGTGACTTAGTTTCATTTTGAGCATGTACATATGTTATTATATAGTAATATACATCACTGATTGACTTTATGTAGATCAAAAAGACAAAAGGATTTTAACCCCTTAGCACTTAGGACTGACCAAATCCTCCCTAATTAGGGTGCCTTAAGCGGCAAGACACACTAGGCGAATTTCTGCCGGAATCAATCGGCGCCGAATTTATTTGGCTGATTGAGTGCCCACACTAGGCGAATTTTCCACCAGATTCACCAGTCATCGAATTTATTTGGCTGATTGAGTGCCCACACTAGGCGAATTTTCCACCAGATTTACCAGTCACTTGCATCGCCTTTCATGTCACATGATCAATCATGGAACAGACCAAGGCAGAGAAAAATATAGCTGCAGCGGTGTGATTTTTTAAATTTTATGCCGTATGGGTCTGAGTAGAAAGAGGTGGGAGAATAGAAGTGATTGGGCTAAAAACTGGATCCGTCACTGTGACACACATTGTTTTTTTTTACCAATTTCGTTGGAGAATTGGCAGAGGAAGACATTGGCGTTTATACATCCGTGATAGTTGCAATTTTGTCTTCAAAAAAAATCATATGACTTTCTTGACATCAGTGATTGGCTAATGGATTCTACAATCGGGCATTGTCTTCGGGGAACCGGACACACCAGATGAATACAAATGCTGTGAATAAAAATTTGGTCGAAAATATCAAACACGATTGATTCGGGCCAATACAAATTCGGCATCACGGCTCTGGACACAGTAGGCTAATTTCGTCTAGTTTGTCCTCCGCTTTAGACCACCCCAAAACGAACTAGTAAATGGACCTATAATATGGAAACTATTCACATATCTCGGGTGATTTGAAGCAGCCCAAGGAACAACAGTTTCGTTATGTCTTGGGGTGTATGGGTATTGATCACTTTAAGGAACTGGGTAGTGAATATTTACAGGTGCTAGAGGGTTAAAATTAAATAGATAAATGTTGACTAAGAAGGTGAATGTCTATAGTAATGAACGAATGCATGTAATATTAAATATATAAATTGTTATTTACAAGATTATTATTATGTTAATTACTTTTATGTTTATGCCAAATCTCAGAAAAAAAACTTGTGTCTTACATGTGTTTAGAGTTAATTGTATGTATAAACTATGTACATTGTAAGCAAATATTTTGGTGCTAAAGTTATGATAATGGTTTATTTTTTATTGTAGTTAACATCATTAAATGTATTAAATATGTATTTGAGAGACACTGTTTGATCACATTTAAAATACAATACAAGCTAGAATTTTGTCCTGCAGTCCATAGCCAACTATATGTCTAAATAGGATTTCTGTAGCTTCCAGCTCAGACATGGCTGGATTCTGTAGAAGCAAATAAAAAACGAAATTTTATTTTCTTTCTTTTGACAGTTATTTAGTTGTAATTATATTTTGAGGCCAATAATTAATTTCAACAAAATAATTAGCAAAAAGAAGAGAACTAGGACAATTTTCCATTTTCTCATTATTTGAATGGAAAGCCATTTCTCCGATATTAATTTTTAGTTATGGTGAATAGGAAAATACTTGTAATAATTAGAATTTAATTTATATTAAAACTGTCTCATATCCAGTTAGTTGTGTTATTATTTTTATGTTAGATAACACCCAGACAATTTATATTTATTCTGTGTAACAACTTGATCTATATAGAGGAAAATTAAGCTTATCAATTTAGAAGAAATCATTGGCGAACTATAGCTTTCCCAAAATAAGGACTTAATAAATGAAATAAAATAAAATGAGGTTTAAGTCCTACTGTTCTGCTCCTATACTGGGCTAATGAAGACGGGCATACGCCATAGAGTGTGCTATGAGGGAAATTTTGCCCGGGCAGCGGCACTATCGCCTACTCTTATATCGAATTACAACTACCAGGGGATCTTTTATGTGCATTCCAATATATACACGGGACCTCGGTTTTCAACTCATCCGAAGGACTAGACCACTGACAAGGGGAAAATCTGGATGAACTTTCTCGGCCAATAAAAGACTTAATAAAAGCAATCTTTAGAATCATATACTACCCATTCGCAAAGTACAGCATTATACCGATAATTTTCTAAAGGATACTATAGTATTTTCGTATAGAATCTTCCCCATTAATCTGTAGGATACTCACGCTATAAAACGGTCTTTGGATTTTGTAAATCCTGTGTTTTGCTGAGGGTGTGTAGACGCATGGGAGTCTGCAACCAATTGAAATGGGGTTTAACATCCTACTGTTCTGTTCCAACTGGGCTAATGATGGCGGGCATACGCCATACAATGCTTTGATGGAGATTTTGCCCGGACTAGACGTTTTCCCTTGCCATGCCCCTTTTCCTGCACGACTGATAAGGGGGACCCACGCCAGAAAATCTCGATCTTTCTCGGTCAATGCAGGGACCGAACATCGGGCCTCCAGGTTAGCGAGCCAACATCTTACTCACTTAGATACCGTAGCTCCGAGAGTGGACAACCAAGCAACTACATCTGAAAGAATAATGATAGGCCTAGATGAAAACAACAAGCAACAACTCTTTATTATTAGCATAGTACAGCATATTAATGAACTTCTATCAAACGCCGCTTAATTGTCCAGATTAACACTCTTAATAAGACTACAAGTCATGCTAATCATATGCTCTTACCAGTCAATGAACAACGAACCGAATTAACATTTTAAAAATATATATCCAAAGACACTATTCAAGTTAATAAAGATCGCCACACAACAGCTGGTTCTACAGCTGAAAGATATAATGTTGGCAGTAGGGTATCTGAAAGAAAAGTTTTATGTTTAGCAGATTTTATTAGGATTCTTTATGCCTTGGAACCAATTGTTTTTCGGGGTGGGGGGGGGGGGGTCTGAATATACTTTTATCTGTATAAAACCTCTACATATGACAATATGTTGGTGCGATGTTTTAGTTTAATGCCCGTAAAATATGCCAAAACAGTGTTTACAGAAGACTGAAACTTTTAAAAAAAATTTATTGGGGTGCCCCCCCCCCCCGAGTGGGAGGGTGACCCTCGCAAACTCTCCCTCGTGCCTCCGGCGTCACAGATTGTCAACATTTTATATAATTTCATTTGCGGAACCCCCCAATATATATTTCACGGCTACGCCTCTGCTTGGAACAAATTTGATCTCTATCGAGTTAAAATCGGTTCTGGACACTAATCTCACAGAGAGTTTTATAATACTTGATATTAGTAGGGTTCATCCTCTCCGATCCCAGTGCTTCACACCAAATTTGATAATCAATATTCTGTTCACTCTAACGATTCTTTGTCTCACAAACCTAACGCTTCATATCAAATTGGAAAAAAATCCATTAAAATCTATAGCCACTATCCCGGGTATAACTGCGGAACGTTTGAAATTGATAGCTCTTATGACAACAAGCTTACATAATTATGTTGGACGTGAAGGGAGGAGGGGCAGTAACCTATTATTGAAAAACTCGATTAATATTCATTCGGAACCTTGTGAATAGACGTTTGATCGACGGTGACAACAGTATACGTTCACATACATGGACTTACAGCATTTATAAAATCGAAAGCAAAGCGGTCAGCAATTTAACACATAATTAATAATAATAATACAATCCAAAAATCTAACACGGATGACAGATAATGAAATTAACTACTAGTAAAATGATTATAAACACACATTCTACAACACAAATCATTGTACAATTACATAAGCAAATAATTGCAAAATATAATACACAAATAATTATAAATTTAATCCGCAGATATTTGTATAATCTAATACACAAATAAATATAAATCTAATACACATATTATATTTACAAATATAGATACTGGTGCAGGATATTACAGTTAATTATACAGTTTATTACAAACAATGATTACACCAATAATTAAAAATCTAATAATCTAATACACCAATAATTATAAATTTAATACACAAATAATTATAGATCTAATACACAAATAATCATATATCTAATACATAAATAATTATATATATAATACACAAATAATTATATATCTAATACACAAATAATGATAAATTTAATACGCAAATAATTATAAATCTAATACACAAATAAATATATATCTAATACACAAATAATTATAAATCAGAACACCCCCATTCCCACACCCTAGAAATGCACCCTCGCCGTTCTCTCTCCAATACAGCCCCACAAATGCATTAAATAAAAAAAAGAAGAAGCATAAGACACAATTAATAATGTAACCGCTCATATTTCCGTTTAAATTGAAAAAGAAATATATAATTCGGAATCGATGTCACAATTCATTTACAAAGTAATCAACATTTGCAAAACTAATCTAATATGTTAGACTTCAGCATTTTGAGATGACGTGAAAAGGCACGAAGATCCAATAAGATAAAGCAGCCTACGGTGCAACACAGAATAATCACAGCCAGTGACCCTACTCCCTGTGCTGATGGTCTGTAATCTGGGATACTGATTTTCTTCCTTATAGTAGCTGACAAGTTCCTCGTATCCACCAATAGATCATCTCTGATCTGTAATGATTTTTGTTTTGCCACTTCATATTCACTGACATTGGAGTATACAACATGGCATCCACAAACGCAAATGTCCGTGTTTTCAATAGCCAGTGGTGTAGTGGGATCTGAAAAATGAACGACAGATTAAGGAAAACAAAGTGAAACCATCAAACAAGTTTTCTGTTCCGCGAACTGTTGGGCATCGGATTGCACAGGGTAACCACAGAAATAAAAAAAAAGCCGGGGGAACCCTTCGCCAGCGAATTTCGCCTTGTGGACCTCGACCAATGCCAGACTACAATCGCGGGGCCTCTTTAGAATGACACGCATGCGTAACACACAATTAACCGTCTGTAATGCAAGAATAATTACATAATATCTGATCACATACGAAATCTATTCAGTTCCCAATGGCATACAAGTTTAGAAGCCTAGACCGATCACCGAGTGGAACTTCACAGAGAAGGTTAAGGGATAGCTCAGTCTCCGCCCTCGCGCGGCTAGATCGATTACCGTGGAACTTTAATCTGGAATTTGAATGTGTTCTCTTTTTGCCATGAACCGCGGGGCCCCTAAACCCGCGGGACCTTGGGCCTGGGCCCCGCAGGCCCATACCTAAGCTGTCGGTGGACACCATTCGCCCTAATATATGTATTGTCGCTGACTCGTACGACGGGAGTAGCTGTGGCTCAGTGTGTAAGACGCTGGCTCGCTCGCATGGAGGTCGACAGTTCGATCCCAGTGTTTGCCGAGAAAGTTCATCGGGATTTTCCGGAACGGCGCTCCCTTGTCCTTGTTGCAGGACGGAGAACCTCGCAAGGAACAGCGTATGGTTGGTCGGATGGGACAGAAAACCCAGGTCACATATTCGACTGTCTTCGTTAGCCGTGTTGGTGCAGAAAAGCAGGACCCCCCCCCCCCCCCACAAATTCATTTCATTTCATTTAGTCTCCATAAGAAGCGCTGTATTAAATTGACGAAATAGAAAGTAGAACCTTACTTATACGAGTGATAAAAAGTAGAATCTAACAGATACAAGTGATATAAAGTAGAATCTTACCAATACAGGTGATAGCTGAATGATAAAACGACCTGTTGAATGAGCCGTTCGCTAAACATGCAATGTGGATATAATCTCCAGCAGTGGTATCAAACCCGTTGGCGCATTCAATTGTTACTGTGTCTAGATAACGTATTGGACTAGTGTACTGAAACGCATAACCTGGTGCACTTGGTAGTTGGCTTTCAGCACATGTTACTGTTTCTGAAACGATATAACAGGGAGACAAAATTTTATTTACTTTCATCTGGTCAGAATATAACATAGACTAGCATATACCTATAGCTATGTAACCGTGTTCATTAGCTCAGTCGTAGCAGAACAGTAGGGCGTTAAACCCCATTTCATTTAATTTCATTTCATACCCATGTAAAGTAAATTCGGAAACGTCGCTATCCATGCAAAATCTAGATAGATCATGTCAAATATTCTTCACCGCGTTGGTGACCCAAGGAAAACCAGTTGTTCCGAAAGCCAAGAGCTACCCAGTCCGCATCTGCATAGTCTGAATAACTGGCGGATAAATTCCTACTTTTAGTTCTAAAAGATGGACTGACTCTACATTTTAATCAGGCGTGTTCAACGAGTACGCATGTAGTAGGTAGTAATCACACATGTAGGGAGTAACTTACTTCTCAACTGACAAGTTGTTTCACATTTAATCTGTATATAAGGCTCATCACATCGACCAGCTTTTGCCCAAATTCCACATTGACAGTTTGTATCATAGTTTCCCAATTCTAGAAATAAATCAGAATGAATATAAAAAAAGGAAACTCGATCGCCCCCTGAATAATCTGTCTGATTTTATTGCCCTCTTTTATGGTGAAGGTCAGGCAGATAAGGTCCCGTTTGTTTTCGGAGCCTACGGAAATAATCAGAAATTAAATTTACGATCCGGACATGTTAAACTTTTCGAGAAAAATATCAGACATAACTATTACTGGACGCCCGGGCCTATGGCAATTTCGTGTTAAATGAAGTACAGCGATCAAAAAAAATAAATAAAAAAATGAAAAAATAAATAAATAAATAAAAATAAGAATAAAAAAGGATAATCTCTTGAAAATAAATTCTTACTTTGACAGAAGGGTGCCACCTTACAGGAGAATGAACAACGACACCAATAGTCCAGTTTAAAAATACATTCACCCACGCTTGCCCAGTATTCACAGGTAGAGGAATTGAAGTTCAAAGAAGATTCACAGGAATCTGGAAATATATAAATGGGTCACTGCATGAAGATGTTTCTGATGAATGAATTCGTGGGTTTACAGTGATAGTCACTCCATGGATTTAAAAACGTATAATGATTATGGTTCTATATGCTTATCAAAATATACTGTACAAATTATTAAAACACGTCGACTGCTGTCTTTGTTTTTTTGGACGCAGAGCTTCGCTGGTGCTGTAATTCTCCTAAATCATTTGTCATTTGTATAAATGTATATAGTCAGCGTTCTAATAACCATATGAATGACCATATGAATGCCAGATTCGAAAATGGGCCTTAAACTCTGCAATTTGTATCCACATGAATGCGCAAATGAGCTGCCCACAAAATAAACCTTCGGCATTAAGTTGTTTTTGGTTTTTGCTTGTTTTGTTAAAGATGCACTATATATGATTTAGATAAAGGGTTTGTCGTTCTTGCTATAATAGTCCAAATAAAGATAATGAAAAATGAATATATGGAAAATTTCAGTCAAATTACTTTAATCTGAGAGAAGATATGGGTGTTTGACGTTTTGACAAGATTACCACTGTTACGAAAAACGTCTCGATTATCTATTTTAACGTTAAATTATTACAGTAACGTCGCGGCTGTTCTAATCCTTTCAATATCGAAGCCATCCGATGAGCTACCGAGTTTATTTGGGCTTGTCATGTCAATAAATGTCTAAATAATAATTTATATGTATAACATCTGAAGCTAGAAAAAAAACCTGCCTTGAGCAGATTTGGCTTTTCCTTAATGCATCTTTAATGTTCAATTACTTACCACCACATATTAATTCATCACGAGAATAATCCAGCTTTAATGATTTGTCGACTTGACAGACAAACACATCTAGGCTACCATAAACGGCTTGATATGGTGACAAACAGGTACGTGTTACACTATCTAAGTAACGAACAGGTTTGGTATATTCAACACGTTTTGTTTTATCAGCAGGAAGTAGATTAACATCACAAAAAACCGCTGAAAACACAATACATGCTGATAATAATCTAGTACAATATGTTCGAGGCTTTGCATAGCCTTATTATGTGTCGGATATAAACGTTTATTTTATGATCAGTAGTGGAATACCGCGTTTTATCAGTGGCTAGCAGTAGTCCATGTTGTTTTTACCTAAAATGATTGTAAAATCATAAAATAAATAGAACATTTGTCGTTTTAGAGTGAATAACATATTTTATTTCAACTCTAAGCAAGAAAACGTTTATATTTTCACTCATGCTACGCATTCGTGAAAATATAAGTTTTCTTGCTTCTCGATGAAATAAAATATGTTATTCCCTCTAAAACGACAAATATCCTCTATATCTACGCACATGCTAAGTATTTTTTCAGGGTAAGGGTTAGCGGTCATGAAAGAGTCAGCACAAGCCCTGAAAATTAGTCAAATCGATCAATTCTGACTTACTTTATCGCCATTTGAAGTTTATATTGGTTTCTATTTATTTACATTCTTCGTGAAGGCCTTTGCACACTCAGATGTGCTTAATTACATACAACAGTCGTTATATTTAAACAGTACATTTCTTTGGCTTTCGAAATGTATGAAAACGATTTTATTTCACAAATACTGAAGAAATTCAAATCAAATTACAAAAAAGTGTGACCTTTAAGAACCATCCAATTATTGAAATTGACAGTTAAAACGGTGTTGTTGATTTCTAGACACATCACTCAAAAGCAGATTTTAGACAAAGCAACAGTTGAATCTTGTTTATTCCAAATCATTTACATCAATATTATATTGTTTTCTCGTCTGAATATCGTCTGGGTCTAATGAACTGTCATAAAGGAGCTTTTTTTCCTTAAGGAGTCCTACTAACAGCATTTCTTGTATTTAAAATGAAACAAAGAAAAACTGAATATTTGCGTTATTAAAACTAAAACTTGGATCAGTCGCGGATTATAGCGGTGGTACCATAGTTTCCAGCCTTAGAACATAAAAAAATGAAATTGTACAAACTTGCCATTCACCATAGAATTAGAATGATTAACAGGTGAATAGGGGCTTGAAAATGGCGAGAAACTTTATCGACAAATATCTGAATTGAACTCAGTAAACCATCATGACCCCAGATTTAACTAGATGGAGATTTTATAATATACTTCAATAAGTTTTGATTTGCCCCCCACAACCCAAGAACGCTTTTTTGCAAGGGGTATAAATATGCGAAAATACAACGCTCGTCATAATAAATATACTCTTCAAAAAAAGTACGGGATATTCAGAAACAATATAAAACTGCGGAAATGCACACTATGCGACAACTTAAGCGACGAGTCTGGCGACAAATATCGCCTCAATATAAGTCGATTGGGCACACTTCACGACGACTTTGGCGATCACGGAAAAAAACACCCTGTCACGTGCTTCGTCATGTGACACCTGTAAATTCATTTTATCCGTCATCGCGTTAAATACTTTAATTAATATTGTTTTGTACTTGATGATCAGGAGGCGGCGTAGCCGTCTCAGTACAACGCCCGTGGAGTGCAGTGCGTTTATAGTATTATAAGTTACTAGCTCAAATTGGGCGACTCTTGCATGTATAGAAAAACAAGCTACGTGAGGATGAGTCCAGAAATATTCCAGAGAATCCTAAATATAATCAATTCTCTCATTCCCAAACAAACAACCAAGATGAGACAACCAATAAGCGCAGGTGGGCGATGGACGGTCACTCTACGTTTTCTCGCTACAGGTACTGGAAAAATAACGCCCATTCTAATTACCATCCATGAATCCTAGGACTATATTATTATTGAGTACATTGCTATATAGGAGGAACAATCCACTCTGCCTACCATATGTATTCGACAGGTTTGCCAGAATTCCAAACTTAATTTCAATTAGTTAGTTAGGGCTAAATTATTAGTTAGGGCTAAATTAGATTACCCGAGTCACTTAATATTATACATGCAACAGAAACAAATTCTGAGAAATCTCGTGTGTGGTTATGTCACATGAGAAGAATAACCAAAAATTGTTGGTTTAATAGGTGAATTTATTTTCTTCGTTGTCGCTTAAATTATCGCCGAGGTGAGCACATTACACGATTTGTTGCCGATGAAGCGACGACTTGGGCGATCATATCAAACAAGTCCATCGCCGCGATGGTCGCTGGCGACGAAATATCGCTTGCGATCGAGTGCGCACACTAGGCGAGTTTTTGATTTTTCATCGTCGGCGACCGAAATCGCCTATGTCGTCGCGTAGTGTGCACCAGGCTACCAGTGTATGTTAAAGGAGCTAAATCGCTAACATTTTAGACCTAGAAATTGACATAAGTAGGTCGTAACACATATAATACTGTAATATGAATGTATATAAACTGATATACATTCAATGGTTTCCGTTTTTACTCTAATTTCAAATCAGTTAAGTTCCGCGAAATAAGCCAGCAGTCTCAATCGAATGCAAATTTCTAGCGCCTGGTTATTCCAGTCTACATATGCCGTTTGGTTTGGTGCAATATGTCTAGCCTCGTTCCTCGAGTCTCTTGCTAGAACTGGGGCTGAAACGCATTATGGTACACGATTCGTGTACCAATGGTAAAATGTTTATTTTGTCTTAAATATTGGATATCAGAAGCCACATCTTTTTCCGGTAAGATCACAGCATCAATGTTGATTTAAATTGACAAATAATTTGTGTTTTCCATGTTGAAGATTTTGGATGATATTGAGTTAGAGACTTAGCTACTTTAATAACAGGTCAATTGCCTACCCATGAACATAAACAGTTCATATGGGCGGCTTATCTGACGGTCCCATTTCACCCGCAAAGAGATACACCGTCAAAAGTGAAAATGGACGTTTTTGATTTTTGATAATGAGTAATTACCAATCCCCAGACATTCAGCAATTCGTCGTGGCATGCTCCTAATCAACCGTCCAATCACGATTTAGGGCAATCTGACCCACTCCTCTTGAAGTGCCACGGCCAATTCTTGCAGTGTTGTCGGTTGACGTTGACGTCGACGAACACGTCTCCCGATCAAATTAAACGTAACACACTAAAGCAAAGATGCACTAAACAGTAAATCTCTTGCAAGAACCGATAGGAAAGCAGACATGGATAGATAAACCAGCACGCGGCAGTTTTCATCAACCCTTCCTTGAAGTGTCAAATTTGACAATGCCCCCCCCCCCCACTTCTATGGCGCTATTGTGTGTCGTATGGGCAACTCAGTGGTTCTGGTGGGGCGATATCATAGCATGTCAAATGTCCATGACTATTTATCATATCGCAACCTGCATAGTTATTTGCATTTCAACAGCCACTACTTTTTTTGAAGAGTTTATGTAGGATTTTGGCTAGCGTATTACGGACATTTACTATAACATGTAGTAGCCCCTTTAACAACTGTTAAAAACGAAGCAAATTAAGAGTTGATTTAGCAGTGAATTAAAACTTCCGACACAAACTGATTTAAAATATTACGTGACTACGGCAGCATCAAACGGAGGTCGATCATCATCAATTGCTATTTGGCACGTCTCTTATTCAAATCGTTTATATTATTGAATAGTTTCAATACTAAAATTAACATTTCATCGTTAAGTTTACTGACAGTCTAGTTTTGGTACTCTCTCGGTCTCCCGGTTTCCTCCCACAGCTAAAGACCCCAAATTGAAACGTATGTTAGTTCAGAAATGGCCTGTAGAGACTGTATATGATTTTAAACATAAAAGTAGTGAACCGTTTTAAAGGTCTAGAAATTTGTTAAACTTATGAAACCCTGGTACATATTTTATTGATTTGTGAGAACATCTCCTTCCCACATAAAATTGCTCCACTCTGAACCGAGATATTAGCTTTTGAATTTTAGTCTAGCCTCGATCATCATTACTAAAGTCGGTAAATCCCGAGGTTCTAGTACATCTTACCTGTTCTAGTTAAACACGTCACAATACAAATATCGGGCATGCTACTGTCTGTCTCACATGTTGATGCTAAACTTCCACAATTACACGTACTGTCTATTATTGGGGTTGCTTAATAATAATAAAAGAATTTTTAGAGATTGTTACTGATCGTAAAAATAAATAATAACAAAAAAAACATAATGATATTTTATTTTTAACATTTTTCAAATAAGATTTCAGTGTAAACATCCTTTTCACAATTCAAAAATATCTATAAAAAAGCGAAATTTATCTTCCTCAAAGGTCATAAATATCTGATAATAGAATATTAAGGCGCATTTAGGCCTCGACAGTGTTTAGCTAACTAGTGATAGTTTACACGTACGTTCTAAACTACTGTTATCAGCATTCAGTAGTACGACTCTTATGCTATTCTCACACAGTGAAGAATATCCTTGCGAATATGAAAATTTGAAATTCGCGGCAAATTAGTCGAAAAAAATAAGATTGCCTGGAGAAATACTGAAAAAATGAGGCCTTACAAATGTTTATCAATGCTTGCGAATTTCTTACGAATCCTTTCGAATCTGTTGGGAATGCTTGCGAATGACCAGAACACACAACACATGCGCGGTGAATTGCATATAAACTCCTTGCCCATACTTCTGCTTTGTCACTGAATGCCTGGCTTTCACGTGGGCTACGAATGCTACGAATAGTGGCGCTACGAATGCTACAAATAGTGGCGAATCGAAATTCGTGGCGATACAGCAAAAATATAAAAAATATCGTAGAAAACTTGGAGTAGCTGCGAAGCAGTTACGAATAGTTAACGAAAGAGTTACGATAATTCGTGGGTAATCGGTTGAAAAATAATTATGCTGGATACGGTGGCTGATAAGGGACATGAAAAATAATTTTCATTTATTTTTTTTAATTTTCACCAAAGTCAATTTTAATATTCATGTAATTTGAAGGTAGAGTCCTACGAAATGAAAGAAACATCTATACGAACTAAATCGATTCAGTTCCGAATGAGTTACGGATATTACGAATACACTATACCCTCCACGAATAATGCCGATAAAGCTACGAAAAGTTTACGATATTTGGCACTATTCGTTAAAGAATCGAATACGAATGGTTTACGATACGTCTACGAATTCCGAAATTCGTAGACCGTCCACGAAAGATTTTGACAAACACAAATTTTCGTGGCCGAACTACGAACTGCTACGAACAATACGAATGTGTAGGAACCAAATAAGAATCACTCACGGCCTTCATAAACCGTCTACGATTTATCTACGAATCAAAAAGTTTGGATTCGGGACGATTCGAGACGATTCGTGGCATTCCTATCCCACGAAATGTTTTGTTCCAAAATAACTTACGAACTTCAAGAGAGGGGTTACACATATGCATAGCCTGTTCCCCAACCCAAATTCAGATTTAACGAATAAAAATATTGTTTAAAAAAAAAAAGAAAAAAAAAAGAGAACCATCTACAATTTATCTACGAATCGGAAAATGTTTGGATTCGGGGCGATTCGTCGTAGTCCACGTGACACAAGGGCATAATACTCACTCTGGCATAATGGTGGGGCTCTACACGAATAAGGACAGCTACACCATAAGGGAAGATATGTTCCACACAAGCCTTTAGCTGCATACTCTGGACAGAGGGCTAACAGATCCAACTCACGGGTACACGGATCTGTAATTCGACATATTATAAATGTATAAATAAAATAAATTTAAGTTAAATAAATTAATAAAAGTATAATAACACAATATAAACAAGTAATACGAGAGGTTGAACCAATAAAGGAATACTGACTAGCTGTGGTGGTATCCATACTTTTAGTAGTTTCTGGTACCGCAGTGTTCCCATCTGTTGGTACTATCATCAGAACAAGCTGCATCTCCAAGAGTGTACCTGTATCAATATATAATAAACCGATGTCTAGAGCAAACAGAACATCCAGAACATCAAACATTTTACGATATAAAATTCTCCAGAGAATCATCTTTATGAATAATATCAAATAAAATTTTGTTATGTATCTCTCTTTATGAAAGTTGACTGAAAGTGAGTTAATAGAGTAAAACATTTACCCTACCATACTATATCATTACATTTTACAATCGACACCCCGACTAATTAGATGAATAATCTAGAGCACATGCACACGGAAGAACAATTATCATTTGATTTTGGCGACGCCCAAATTAATTAGTAATATTGTTCTTCAATAACTATGTGTCATGGTGTATTGTTCTATTCAGTTGCTCTATTCGGTTTATGAAGTAAAACAGCATAATGCATGTGATATAATTTATTGCTCCATCTAGTTAATAAATACTGCTAAAGTAGTATTCTTAGATGAATGTTTGAAATTCGATTAATAAAGTAAAAGCTGCAACATACCTAAAAACAGCATCTTTACCATCAACCTCTTCTCCTGTAGATAAAACACTCTATTCAGTTCCAATATTTTAATTATTTATGTTCTTTAATTCGTATTAAATTGTAAGAAGAGTTATTAAATTCAATTAATACAACAACGCCATTATCATCCTTACCATTACATCAACACTAGTAGATTCATATAATACAGCAACACCTTCATTACCTTGAACATGTACGTAAACAACAGTAGATACATTTAATACAGTAACATCATTATTACCTTTACTGTGTACATCGACGCGAGTAGATTCATCTGGAATTTGTCATCCCCATGAGAAACATTTATTTTGCTATCTGTAGATAGATCCCGTTTAATTACTCTAAAAACATTTTACCTTTGTTCAGAATAAACCCGTAGCCAACTACTAAACGACAGCTTGTTCGACACATCTGAATGTTACTTCTTGGCTGTCTGAAGATAATCACTCGACTGATAAGCAAAAAATGTTGTTGTTTTTTGTTTCATTTCGACACATAAACAATGGTATTGAAAGATTGTAGGCTTTGTTACCTTCTGGTGTCCTTACTAAAACAGCGTAGAAACCTGGTAAACAAAAGAGAAAATCAATTAAATCTTGGAAAACAAGCAAAGAAAAAAATCTTATGTTCTGGTGTCTCGTTTTATACAATTTCAATACTCTAATACATACATCAGGACGGTACTATATCTTTTGTTTTTCTGTGCAAAAGAAGCACCCCAGTAGCTATTCGTTGCATTATACCTATAATGTTCTTGTTTTTCAAAGGTACCATTGGGGACAATTTACAACAAGCCAAGTCATCGGTCCTTTTGAACATTTGTTAGTTATGTTATGGCGGATTCGGAGACTGGATGTAAATTAGGGTGCTGTGGGTCTGATTGTCATAAATTTCAGCTATTTTTGTCAAATTTTTATAAATCCGCCTTTATTAAATAATGACAAGCTCAGAAAGTTAACATAGATTAGTAGTAAATATTTGAAGTAGTAAATTATTTTTACAGTATGCCTATATAACTATTGTTGAAATGCCACTTATATACTATTCAAAAAAAGTAGGGGATATTTGATTTTGGGGGCATAATACTAAAATATGCAAATGACTACGAAAAAAGTCACTATAGAACCTAACAGAAGAAACATTTCCAGTTACATGTGACGCCCAAACGCACCAATAGCTACCGCATGGAATGCAGGTGATGCTTGGGATCATCATGGGGGTCCAACCCAAGATTTGCACGACTCTGACTTTGAATGTTACAGTCATTGTGGCATTGAATTCCAGGGTGGAAACATCAGTTTAATTGTTTTAGTGACCAGAAAACAAATTTTGATATGCGTCGGCTTACCCAAAATGAAAGGTTACGTGCCCTTGGCATGCTACAGATCGGCACAACACAGGCGGTTGTGGCGCGGACGATGAATGTTTCTCAGTCTGTCATAAGCAGGCTATGGTCCAGATACCGTGATACACAATCTGTACAGGACAGACCACGCTCAGGTCGACCAAGGGCGACAACTCAAGCCCAGGATCGATTTATCCGTACCTTGGCCTTGAGAAATCGTGTCATCACAGCAAATCAGATCAGCGCTCGTCTTCAAACAGACACTGGTGTGAGAGTGAGTGGCCAGACGATTCGGAATCGACTGCATAGGGGTCACCTTCGCGCCCGACGTCCTCGCGTGATCCCTTGTTTGAGAGATCATCACATTCAGGCAAGACGTCGTTGGTGTAGGGATCGTCAACACTGGGATAATCGACGCTGGAGCAATGTGATGTTTTCAGATGAGTCAAGGTTCACTGTTGATTTTTTGGACAGACGTAGGAGGGTGTGGCGTCGTCGAAACGAGCGCTTCCAAGACGTTAACGTCATCAGACATGATCGATTTGGGGGTGGTTCTGTTATGGTGTGGGGAGGCATCACTGTTGCTGGAAGAACGACTTTACATGTTGTTGCAGGGCGTGTTACAGGCCAGTACTACCGGGACAACATTTTGGCAGTCCATGTTGTGCCGTTCGCACGACGTCATGGCCGCCGTTTCATCTTCCAGGATGACAACGCAAGATGTCACAGGGCCAGGATCGTTACAGGTTACCTCCAACAACAGAACATCACCACATTACCTTGGCCAGCACTGAGTCCCGACCTCTCCCCCATCGAGCATGTCTGGGACATGCTTGGACAGAGGTTACGTCAACGTCAACAACGTCCTGCCATTGTCCAAGAACTTGCTGCTGCGTTGCAACAGGAATGGGACAATCTGGACCAAAATGACCTTAGACGTCTCATTAGGAGTATGCCACGTCGGATCAATGCTTGTTTGGCAAACAGAGGAGGATTTACCCGTTACTGACTTGGTTGTGATGCTGTGGTAACTTTGCTGTTTGACCCCGGGTATCATTTTACCCTTATAATGGTCAGTCTGTGCCTTACTTAGTCTAACGATCATTTGGAATAAATCGATGAATGTGAACTTCATTTCATTTTGTCATTTGTTTCTTCGTCAGTTTCATTAGGTGACTTTAATAACACTTAAAAATCAAATATCCCCTACTTTTTTTGAATAGTATATTAATAAAAATAGCTACATAATTTGTTGATCCAACCTTTCTCTGGTAGACGGTAAAATATACACCTTTCACCCAAACCAATTGTTT